AGAGCTGGACCATAAAGAAGGCTGATCGCCAAAGAATGGATGCTTTTGAATTCTGGTGCTGGAGGAGCATGGACCAGAGCACGCCAGGCCCTCCTGTCTTCCACTGCCTCCCGCAGTTTGGTCAAACTCCTGCTGGTAGCTTCAAGAACACTGTCCCACCATCTCGTCCTCTGTTGTCCCCTTCTCCTTGTGCCCTCCATCTTTCCCAACATCAGGGTCTTTTCCAGGGAGACTTCTCTTCTCATGAGGTGGCCAAAGTATTGGAGCCTCAGCTTCAGGATCTGTGCTTCCAGTGAGCACTCAGGGCTGATTTCCTTAAGAATGGATAGGTTGGATCTTCTTGCAGTCCATGGGACTCTCAAGAGTCTCCTCCAGCACCAGAATTCAAAAGCATCAATTCTTCGGCGATCAGCCTTCTTTATGGTCCAGCTCTCACTTCCATACATCACTACTGGGAAAACCATGGCTTTAACTATACGGACCTTTGTTGGCAAGGTGATGTCTCTGCCAGGGATCTACAGGTATTTTAATATTTTGTTGGAAGCCGCCCAGAGTGGCTGGGAAGCCCAGCCAGATGGGTGGGGTATAAATTAATAAATTATTATTATTGTTATTATTATTATTATTATTATTATTTACTGGTGGGACAAGCCTGAACAGAATGGCTGAGGATTCAAGAAAATGGGCAGACCTTCCTTGGGGAGCAGGCCAGCCGTCTCAACTGACCTCAGCTGTCTGAGAGCAGGTGGAAGGAAGGTAGGTTTTTAGGGAAGGACGTTTGTGGCTTAAACCCCAAGTGTGACGTCAGTTTCCCCGTTGGGTCACAAGCAGCTGATCCCTGTTGTGCAAGCGTCACCCTCCAGATGCAAATGTCGCCATTTCAGGGAGCATCTTCTCCACCCACACAAGAAGCACCTGCTGTTCTTTGAAGAGTCACTTCCTCCTCTGGGCACAGAACTCAAGTCACAAGGTCCCCCCGGGAGGGGACACGGGATTGTGATGGGGAGACTGGCCAGGCCAGTTGTGGTGCCCAAAGGCTTGCTGGGCAAATGGCCCGTTGCCTCAGGCCATCTGCTGAAAGGAGACTCATCCTTGCAGAAGCTCATCACCATCATGACAACGCCTGTCAGTTTATCAGGTTCCACAGCTCTTTGCCCCCCCAACTCTGAATCATCCATGGCTGATTCTGGGGAGAGTGGCTCACGGACTGCTCACCAGGCGCCTGGTGCGCCAGAGGATTGACGTAAGAACTGGAGGGCATCAGAAGAGACTGCTGGATCAGGCCAGGGGCCCAGCCAGTCCAGCGCCCTCTTCTCACAGGCGCCGGCCAGAGGTCTATTATCGGAAGCCCGCAAGCAGGATCCGAGCACCAGAGCCAAAGGAAAAGAAGTCTTTCAGCTATTGTAAAGGAAATACGCCAGAATCTGGCCAGACACTGTCTCTGGTGGCCGAATCCCAGAAATGTAGGGGAAGTCCTTTCGTGGGGCAACTCTTCCTCAAGGGTCATCTAGTCCAACCCCCTGCAATGCCAGAACCACAGGGAAAGCTTCCCTGGCAGATGGCCACCCAACCCCTGCTTAAAAATCAGGGACCCCACCTCTTGTTAAACTTGTGGTCTCCAAAGAACCCCCCCCCAATTCTTTCCTACTACTTGAAACAGGTGCCCCCCAGCCTGTATTTATGCGTCAGAGGATTCCTGAGTGCAGAAGCTGAGCTCTGATTGTCCCTCTCGAAATTCATTTTCTTCATTTTAGTCTTCCTTCCTTCCCTCCCTCCTCTGAGCTCTTCAGGCAGCACCATAAGCTGGGCTTGGCGAGGGACTCCGAGGGAGGAGGATCCCTTGCAAGCCAGACTCTTGTGAAACCACTCAAACTCAGGACACAAGGGGGAAACATGCCAGGAGGAAGGCACACTTGGCAAATCCACAGCGTGATCAGCTCCTGTCCGGAAACCTATGTCCCCACTGTGGAAGGACGTGGGGATCCAGAGTTGGCCTCCAGAGTCACTTACAGACTCATTGTTAAGACCGTGTTTATGGAAGACAATCTTACTTGGCTACGAGGGATCGCCAAAGAATAATGTGTGTTCCTGCTATGCCTCTCCTGTCCTGCAACAGTTGCTGGCTGCTGCTGCTATACGATACGATAATCTTTATTGTCATTGTCCCATACAGAACAACGAAATTGGAAAAATCTACATAGGACATTCAAAACCCAACAAGCCTGCTATCCCAGCCATCCCAACCTGGATAGCCCCCTAAAAACTCTGATACCCCATTTTTAAATACAGTGGTACCTCGCAAGACGAATGCCTCGGAAGACGAAAAACTCGCAAGACGAAAGAGTTTTTCGTTTTTTGAGTTGCTTCGCAAGACGAAAAATGAAAAAAACGAAAACGTCTTGCAAGTTTGTTTCCTTTTTCTTAAAACCATTAATACCCAGGGTGACTTCGAGGAGCAACTCATAGCACGCGGTGTGGTAGCCTTTTTTGAGGTTTTTGAAGACTTTGGTGATTTTGAAGACTTTGGGAAACCGTGCTTCGCAAGACAAAAAAAATCGCAAGACGAAAAAACTCGCAGAACGAATTAATTTCGTCTTGCGAGGCACCACTGTACAATATACTCCCATAGAGACTACCTTACACTGTGTTTAAAAGCAAAATCGCATTTGAATAGAAACTGTTTCTCAGGCAGCTAGTCCTAGTCTTTATAACACTGTGACCTTCTTCCAGAAGGCAGAAGCTGAAAGAGATCATTTCCGGGGTGCGCACTATCCTGCGCTATCTCTGCAGCTTTCTTACGGCACCTGGAAGCATTGATTTGATCCAAGGTGGGAAGAGTGCACCCAATTCTTCTCTCCGCAGTCTTTACAACCCTGGACAGTGTTGTTTTTTCCCTGACCGTGCAGCTCCCAAACCACACACACAGACCATAATACACTCTCCACAGTACAATGGTAAAATGCCATCAACAGGTCCTTTGTTTAGTTCATTTATGAGCAACTTCCTGGGATGCACCTCTGGGCAATGTGGCAATTGCTGCATCACCGGCTGGCTGCCCGGCCTACCCCAAGGCAACCTCATCGCGCCTGGCAAGTTCCTGGGCAGCGTAAAGTACTTCATGGAGAGCTGGAAGGGAGCCAAAGGCTCATCAAGTCCAACCTTGGGCAGCGCAGGAATCACAGCTCATCACGCTGGCAGCTTTCTTCACGCACAATAATTTTTCTCAGCCTCTCTTGCTTGTGTGTCCTCACAACCAAACGGTGCATTAGGAAGAAGCCCCCGGTTGGATCAGTCCAAATGTCCTGCCTGTGCTTCCATGAAGCCCACAAACGGCCATAAAGGCAACAAGCTCTCCCGTAGTAGCTTCCAAGCAAGTGGATCCGCTGATGGACTGCCCCTGAACATGGAAGTTCTGTATAGCTGCCAGGGCTAGCTGCTGTTACATCCGCAGAGTCTACTGGATCAGGCCAATGAGGGCCCATCTAGCCCAACATCCTGTTCTCACAGGGACCAAGCAGATGCCCAAAGGGAAACCCACAAGCAGGATCTGAGCAAAAGAGCCTTCTCTCCTGCTGCTGTTTCCTGCAGTTGGTATTCAAAAGCCTTGCTGCCTCTGGCCAGGAGCCATGGAGAGCCTCTCCTTCAGGAATTTGGCCAATCCTCTTTTAAGGTTGGTGGCCGTCACTGGCACCTCCAAGAGGGAGTTCTGTATTTATAGGAGGAGCTGCTCCTGAAACTTCAGCTGGTGTAGAATTTGGCAGCCAGTCTGAGCATAAAGCACGAATCTTGGTTCGACTTCACTGGCTACCAGTTAGCTTCCGGGCCCAATTCAAAGTGCTGCTCTTGACCTATAAAGCCTTAAACAGCTCAGGATATGATCCTTCCCAGACCCTGAGATCATCCTCCGAGGCCCTTCTTTGTGTGTCTCCTTCATGAGAAGTCCAGGGGGCGGAAACATGAGAAAGGGCCTTTTCTGCGGTGGCTCCCTGCTTGTGCAATGCTCTCCCCAGGGAGTCCCGCCTGGCGCCTTCTTTACATCTCTTTAGGTGCCAGGCAGAAACATTCCTCTTTTCTCAGGCCTTATGCTGGTCAAACCATCTATAGCTTTTAAAGGAGGGAGTAGGCGGTTGTTTCTGTTTGTTGTTATATTACACATTTCTGTGTTTTTATACTGTCAGCTGCCCTGTGATCCTCGGATGAAGGGCGGTATACAAATCTAACAAATTCATTAAATAAAAAAAAATCTGCTCCGTGTTGATCCTCCTCTACCATCATCAATTTGTCTGTCCCCCCCTCCACCCCATCTAAGCTAATGCCCATTACCTCCTTTAATGTATGAATTGGATGTAACCTCCTTCCTTCGGGGCTGTAAGACTGAGCTATTCCACCTGGACTTTAATTTGAATTCAGCCTGATCTTTTATTTCCCTTCTCTTCCCTCCCCCTCCCCTTTTTTGAGACCCCACAGCTAATTCTCCCCTGGCCTCCTAGCTGGCCCAAGTAGGACTAATTCAGCCAGCTAGCCCTGGGGATTATCTAATGCTTATTAGATGGATTTCCACTAAATTGATTTCTGAACTTTGAATTTTATTGTTATGCATGCTTTTATACTGTATTTTATGCTGCTTTTACAATTAGGTGTTTTAAATCTGTTGTTAGCTGCCCTGAGCCCGGTTTTTGAACCGGGAAGGGCAGGGTATAAATAATTTTTTTTATTATTATTACCACACCTCATGGCATTGCCGTCCATCAAATAATTATACGCTGGCTGAAGCAAGCTGGCATTGCCCACACCCAGAAGCAGCACCTGGTGCCCTCTGTTGTGCCACCCTGATGCCCAGGGCTTCCATTCTGTAGCAGGCCAGGCTGCCCTTTCCTTGCAACTCACAGGGCATTAGGACCCGGCCGGCTCCTACCAGCCCACGCCGTTCCCTATTTGGAGACCTCAAGTGTGCTGGCGACAGCAGCTGCCCTGACTCGGAGCCCCCTTAAAATAGCCTCAGTCCTGCCCACGAGAAGCCCAGGGATGAGTGCTGCCGGCCACCCGCCCACCCGCTTCCACCGAATCCACGGGGCCAATGTCTGCGTCGACCCTTCGGGCACCCAGGCCACCCGCGTGGAGAGCTTTGCCAACGGCGTCTGCTTCAGCCGGGAGCCCCTGGCGCCCGGGCAGATCTTCCTGGTGGAGATCGAGGAGAAGGAGCTGGGCTGGTGCGGCCACCTGCGGGTGGGGCTGACCGCCCATGACCCTCGCAGCCTGGAGACAGTGCCCGAGTACTCCCTGCCAGACCTGGTCAACCTGGGCGACAGCTGGGTCTTCGCCATCACCCGCAACCACAACCGGGTCGCCCCGGACGCTGCCGGGGAAGAGGCCTCCGCCCGGGTGAGGGGCTTCCTCTCTGACCCCTACTTGCTCATCGAGAAGGTCAGGATCCCTCGGGACAAGCTGGTGGGTCGCAGCAGGCCAGGCCGCTACAGCCACCTCCTGGACGACCTGTACAGGACCAATGTGCTCCCTGCCACCGCCCGGAGGAGCAGGATCGGGGTGCTGTTCGCCCTGCAGCCGGACGGGACAGCCGACATGCACATTGTCATCAACGGCGAGGACATGGGTCCCAGCGCCAGGGGTCTCCCGGGCTCCCGGCCCCTTTACGCCGTGGTCGACATCTTTGCTTCCACCAAGAGCGTCCGCCTCATCCAGGTGGAATACGGATGTAGGTATCCCCAGCTCCCAAACTGGCATTGCCCCGGACCATGGGGCAAAGGGCCGTAGCTCAAAGGTGGAGCAGCCTCATGGCAGCTGTGGGGCTGGGAGAGACGACTCCTGCCTGGAACCCTGGAGGGGCATTGCTGCCAGTCAGTGTAGGCCGTACTAAGCTAGATAGACCAATGGGCAGACTGCACGAGGCAGCTTCCTAGGCAGATCAGAGCTGGTGGATGCCATTGTCACAAGAAGGGAGACTTTCTGGAGGTTCGGATCCTGATGGCCTCAAGGCAAGAGCTGGGTGGGCTACTTGGGTGAAGGGGAGAGGGAGAGAGGAGGAGGCCAAGCCCAGAAGCAGGCAGCCGGCTGCTGGGTCGTCTTAGGAAGGGCAGGGGGCAGTGGACAGGGAAAATGAGCCTTGCCCCAAAGGGGTCTGCAGCTGATATGAGGTAAGAAGGCAGGAGGAGAGGGAGGTTTAGCACTGTCTATACAAATAAGGCACTTTGAAAAGCCTAGAATTGTGGACTTAGGAGGGGTCCCACGGGGTCATCTGGTCCCACCCCTGCCATGCAGGAATCACAGCAGGTTGGTCCAGCATAGTGGCAGGAATGAGATGGAGCAATAACTGGATGTTCCAGGTGCGATTCTTGTCACTGGGAGACCGAAGCCCCTGCTCCCTCAGTCCGCACTAGGGAAATGATACTGATTCAATTGCCAAAGCTAGTCTAAGTACAGTGGTACCTCGGGTTACAGACGCTTCAGGTTACAGACTCCACTAACCCAGAAATACCGTAGTACCTCGGGTTAAGAACTTTGCTTCAGGATGAGAACAGAAATCGTGCGCTGGCGGCAGCGGGAGGCCCCATTAGCTAAAGTGGTACCTCAGGTTAAGAACAGTTTCACGTTAAGAACGGATCTCCAGAACGATTTAAGTTCTTAACCCGAGATACCACTGTATTCTGAGAAGACGACAAAGCACTTTGAACACTCTGAAACACGCAGTCTGAATGTCAAGCCCAATCGCCTGGGAGCAGAGAGACCAGGAGGCAGCGGAGCCATAGAGGCAGGAGTCCAGGAAGGAGCCTGACAAAGAGGATCGCAGAATCCTAGGGATGCGAGGGACCCCAAAGGGTCTTCTAGCCCCGGGAAGCACAGATCAAGAGTGCCAACAACTCTTGCCGCCAGAAAGATCTCCTAAGGATTAGTCAGGCTCTCCTTTCTCGTAATCTGAATCCAGGGCTAAGGGAGATCCAGGAGGTGTTTCTGGCTGCATTATCTGTTGGCAAACAGAGCAGGGGTATAATTAGCAAGCATCCCTCGCTGGCCGCTCTCTTCAGTCCCATGTGCGCAAGGGATCTATTTTTAGGGAGGGTTTGTTTTCTCTGCCGCACTGGCAAAGCCCTTGCCCCTTTGCCAGCCTGCCTTCGTGGCCAGTGGTTCTCCCGCCCGGGCAAGGAGGAACGTGGTGGGCCGGGTGCGAGGTTCGGGGAGGCCATGGAATGCAGCCACCCCACGGGGCTTGCTGTGGCTTAGCTGCAGGTGGCAGTCAGTAGTTAACCTACGGAACTCCCTTCCACAGGAGGCAGCGATGGCCATCAACTTAATAATAATAATAAAATAATAAAATTTTATTTATATTCCCGCCCTTCCCAGCCAAAGCCGGGCTCAGAGCGGCTAACAACAATAAAAGTAACACAGCATTCTAAAATCCATTCATTCTAAAATAAATTCAAAATCAAATTAATGGCAACCATTGGGCTAGAGTTCTGTGAGGATTACCAAAGGACTGTGCCTTGGCCAAAGGCCTGGTGGAACAGCTCTGTCTTGCAGGCCCTGCGGAAAGATGTCAAGTCCTGCAGGGCCCTAGTCTCTTGGGACAGAGTGTTCCACCAGATCGGAGCCACAGCCAAAAAAGCCCTGGCTCTAGTTGAGGCCAACCTAGCCTCCCTGTGGCCCAGGACCTCCAAGACGTTTTGGTTTTCAAGGAGGATTGGCCCAATTCACAGAAGAAAATAAAGCTACTGAGGGCTACCAGCCACAGTGGCTCTGCTCTGCCTCCACAATGTTCATGTGCCTGAATCCTGTTTTAGTGTTTCTCTGCTCAGCAACTGTGAGAACTGGATGCTGGGCCAGGCGGGCCATGGGCCTGATCCAGCACCCTCTTCCTATGAAGGCTTGTGATAACAGAACCTCCAGGCCCAGGGACAGTCTATCTCTGAACACTAGACTATGGGGAACAACCATTGGAGAATGCTTTGGCACTTGGGTCCTGCTTGTGGGCTTGGATCCTGCTGGCCTCTGTGAGGCTGGGATGCTGGACTAGATGAGTCCCTGGCCTGATCCGGGAGGCTCTTCTGGTGCTAACAGACCATAATAACATGTTAAAAAGAGAGCGAGCCCTGCAGAGAGAGAGGCTGCGGAGGGCCAGGCACGAGGGCTCATTGTGCTGCAGAGAAAGCCTAGCTCCACTTCCTCCAGGTTTTGCCCATTCCATGCCCAACGCCAAATCGCGGAGGTCCTTGCCTGGCTTTGCCAGCTGTGCCCCATGAAGCTGCAAAGAAAGATGAGCTGGGATGTGTGGAAATCCTCTTGCCATGCAAGACCTTCCTTGGCCAGAAAGGACCTTTTCCTTCTCTAGCTGACATTCGCACAGAAAGGATGCAAAAGGCGCTTTCTGCGTCGTGTGTGGGAACAGTGGGAGGCTCCACAGATTTGCTGGAACCAAGGAATAAAGAATCACAGAATCAGAATCAGAAGGGATCCCTCAGGGTCATCCAGACCAACCTCCAGCCATGCAGGAACCACACCTAACAAGCCCCACCCAACCTCTGCTTAAAAACCTCCAGTGAAGGACACCAACTTCCGAGTAACTTGGAGCGTTTCCTTTCTGCCTTTTAGGGTAGTCTTTAAAAGATATCTGGAGGTTACATTTCTTCTTGAAATGGGGAGGGGCATCCGTTTTGCAGTCAAAAAACTGAGTATGCCTTTCCGAACATCTCTTTCTCAAGTTAAATATCTGATGCCTCTTAGCAACAATGTTCTGCTACAGAGCAGCTTCCTTTTTTTTATTATTATTAAATTTTATTAAATGTTACCAAAAATATGAAAAGAAAAAAAGAAATAGAAACAATACATAACCATACATTAAAACATTCATCTACACAATTTTCCAGAATGCAGACTAGAAAAGAAGAAAGACAAAAGATAGAAGAAAGAAACAAGAAAAAGAATGAAGGGGGGGGAAAAAATACTTTTCATAATCAATTATTCCAAATTCATACTTCAAACATTACAATATATAAATCCTAGTTAAAATATTATAAAGGACTTCCACCGCATTCTTTGGCAAGGAGTTTCACCAAAACACGCTGAGAACTGGGTCTAGTTCCGCAAAGTTCTCTTTTTTTGTCTCTGGGATGTCATGCTGTGAAAGAACCTCCTTAGAGAGGTGTGCCAATTTCCTCTTTGGCCTGCATGCAAATTCCTCCCCCCTCTGCTTCCTGGTAACCTGGGAAAGGCATGCAAGAAGCATTAAGCCCAAGGCAGGGTTGATGCCCCACCTCAGTTCAGCCCCCCCCCCCCCCCCGGATGAGACCTGTCCAAACAAGAAAGCTTCTGTGGCTGCAGAGACCGATATGGGAGAGACATGTTTTGTTGCAGCTGGGGCAAAGGAAGGCGTCCGGTTGTGCTGCTACAGATGCGCCTGGGTGTATTGTCCTTTCTGCGCTTCTCCCAGCGGTCATTCCTCCTCTGCTTCCTGCTATGAATGTCTGCCTCCAGGCACTGCGGTCATCTGCAAAGGATTCCCACACACTGGGGTTGATGTTGCCAGCCTTCATGTCACAATTGATACAGCAGACTCTTCTCGTGTCCTTATGCTAACCAAACCACAGAGTCTTGCATTGCTAGAGGACTCCCCTCGCACTTTGAAAGCAGTCCAAGTGTATTAGCAGAGTGACAGGCCGCTTGGTGGTTTTCAGTCTTCAGGATCCTTTAGGGCGTTGAAAGGGAGGCAGCGGCGTTGGCAAAACAAGCCCGGTTGTTGTGTTAGGAACATGGAAGTTATGTCTGGAAGCACCAGCAGGTGAAGAGAGATGGTGCCTCTGACAGGGAGCCAAAGGGAGGTTTTCACCCAAGGTGTGAGGCGCAGCTTGTCTTTGGCATGTACATACTGGCAAAGTGGGTGAGGAATGAAGGGGGAAGTTGGTTCCCCATGCCAAAGTGGCGTGCTGCCACCCCAAGGGCTGGCCCTCCATGGGCTTATGAGTATCAAGCCTTCATCTTAACAAAAACATTCACAAGCCCAGGGCCGTCTTAACCATAAGCGCAAGGGGTGTGGGGCACCCGGGCACCAGGCTTTCAGGGGTGCCAGGCCGAGAGCCCGAGGCCCGAGAATTGGAGGCCGGGAAAGAGCCTGCCTGTTGGTCGGAGCGCCGCGGCTGCGAGTTTGGGGGCAAGCGAGTCAGCGAGGTGCTGAGGCAGTCAGTTGGCTCCCCCCTCCTGCATGCCTGGGATTGGTGTGGGGCCGTGGAGAGGCCTGCCCAGCACACGCTGCTTACACCACGAGGCGCCGGGCGCCATAAGAGGAATGGGTCCCAATCCTCATGCTGAGGTTGTTTCACAGCCAAGTCCCCTTCTTTATCTTCTTTTCCTCCCAGTCCCCTCCCTGCAGACCCTCTGCCGGCTGGCCATCCAGAAGCACATTGCCCACCGACTAGACATCGATGGGCTTGACCTCCCTCCATCGCTGAAGAACTTCTGCAAATATGAGTGACGTGACCAAGGCATCTTCTTCGCCTGCACGAGTCGCCCACCCAAGAGACTTGATGGAGGGTCTGCAAGAACGAGCCGAGAGCAGTGAAGCCGTGCTTCGTCCTTGCTCTGTCCCCAGAATGCCTGCCTTATGGGCCTCACTTCCCACGTAGCCACTGGGGAGCCACGTATATGGCGAGAGACTCACTGAAGGGGCAAGACCACCAGCAGCAGCCCTCTAAACAACAGCAGGACCCTGAAATAGCAGGAACAGTCCAAGGGAGGATTTGATTTTCAGACTGCAAGATGTAGTGGTGAATTGGAAGTACCGGCCAACTGCCCTGTTTCTAGGTGTACTGGGAACTACAGAATATGCTCTGAGAGACAGGCTACATGCGAAGAGATTTTTTTAAAAAGATCACATAGGGGAATCTGTTTACTCAGAACATGCCAAGAATGTTTCTGCAGGAAAAATTAAGCCTTGAGCGAGTTTGGTAAGCGAGGAAGTGCCCTATTTTTCTCGCTGATCCAGCTCTGAGAACAAAGGCACGCTTTCCCTCTGAGAAGGTGACTTGACTTCTACACACGTGTAAAGCTGAGGCGAGGGAGCAGCTCTACGCAAGCGTGTGAAGTTTATAGGGCCACGGGCTCCACTTTTGTGGGTTCCCCACCGGCCCGCTGTTGTTCTGACCCAACATCACAGTGGTGCGTTTATGGAAGAAATGAACTATGTAGACCTTCCTGTGACGTGAACTCCGAAGCCCAGAGGGTGTTGCTGCTATGGGGAAAGGGGGGCACACGAGGCTTCATGGAAGTCATGCCAGCTCAATAAAAGCTGCATTAGAACAGCAACAACCCTGGGAGTGTCCCTTTCCTGCGGCCTCAGCTCCCTTTCCCTCCTGGTTACGCAGCAGAGGGCTCCCAAGCGAGGGAGGCTCGGTTTTATTGCCGATACTGCAGTACATAAATGGCAATGAAACGATCAAGCGGGTGGAGAACGGCTGCAGGGTTTGGGACTTTTGCAGTGGTTCTCAACCTGTGGGTCCCCAGATGATGTTGGACTACAACTCCCATCATCCCTGAGCTCTGGCCTTGCTAGCTAGGGGTGATGGGAGTTGTAGTTCAACAACATCTGGGGACCCACAGGTTGAGAAAGGGTGGCTTAGAGAAAACGCAGGAAGAGGCATCGTGCATGAAGAAAAGGAGAAAAGGTTTCTCCCCATCTCTGCTAACACTAGAATCTGTGGGCATCCCATGAAGGCTCAGGGAAGGGAAAATGAGCAATTTCTTCACACAGCACATAACCTATGGAACTCGCTCCCACAGGAGGCAGCGTTGCTTCTGACTGCCAGCTGCTGGAAACCGCAAGAGGGGAGAGTCGCTCTTGTGCTCGGATCCTGCTACTGGGATTCCCATAATGGGCATCAGTTTGCTGGACTCGATGGCCCTGACCTGATCCAGCAGGCTCTCCTTATGGGGGGGGGGCAAATGTTGGGGGCCGGAAGAGGCTTAGCAACCTGCCGGCTTCACCAGGCTTCCCTCCTCCTCTGCCATTGAGCCAAGTGGCCCCAACTCCTTGGAGCAGCAGCCGAGGGGCAAGACTGCCCAGGGGCTCTGTGTGAGGTAAGGGCCAAGCCCTGTGACGCTGGTTCTAGAATGGGGAGAGTCCAGGACAGGCACAGCACCGAGGCAGCCACAGGGCAGCTCTCAGCGGACACCATGTCCTATTATGGGATGGGGAAACCTTCCGCAGGCTTCTTTCCACCTCCAAGTCCAGGTAACGACTCCCCTTTCATCCCCGAGGAGTTTTGTGCAGGCAACGCCCTCCTCTGTGCGGCCCCACACATTTTCCTCCCCCCCTCAGCCGAATTGGTGTGTGGAGGGAGCTCTTCATGTCACCCCAGAGATGGGTGGCTGTCTTCTTAGACTCACAGAAGTGGAGTTGGGACCCCCAACGGTCATCTGGACCCCCCCCCAGCAATGCAGGAATCACAGCCCAATAATCCCCGGCAGATGGCCAGGGATGAAAACCTCCAATGGACAAGAGTCCACCACCTTCCGAGGTGGTCCACTCCGCTGCCAAACACCTCTTTGACAAGGCCAGAGAAGAGGCCCCAGCGCTACAGGGATGAGGCCCGAGGGAGAGGCAGGCCTGGGGGGGGGGGCAGCTGATATGGGACACACGGAACCATCTCCTAAGCTCTCTGGTTCCTTCTGGGGCGGAGTGGGAAGCAGGGAACCCATGGAATGAAAATTACAGCTGCAGCTCAACTCTCGCTCCAGTTTATCTTCCTCTTGGGAAATAAGATTACTCAGCACCAGGAGGCAAGTGAGTGTGTGGGCAATGGAAACTGGTATCGAGGGCATGGAAGGAATTTAGCAGCCTCAATTCACCCCACCTTCAATCTAGCCTGAGAACCAGAGCCCCCAAGTTGTCCTCCTCACACACCCTCCCCGCCAATCCACCTCTGTCCCAGACACTCCAGTTGGTGCCCCCCCCAACACACACGCCTTTATTTTGGACAGGAGAATTGGGCAGCAGAGAGGTCGAAATGGCACCGAGTGGCCCGTCGAGCCTCTACCCTGGGATGCCAAGGGAGACACCGGCTTCAGGGGGCCTCTCCTCGGCCATCGGGCTCCTGAGGAGGAAGCTGCAAGCCAAGCAGGGGCTCCGCATCAGCTCAGCGGCCCCCAGCTGCTCCAGGATCCGGACACCAAGCCGCCTTGTGGAGGAGCCTGCTGGTCACCGGGCACACCTGGGCAAGGGGCTCCAGAAAGGTGGGAGCCACACCGAGGCCTCTGCTGCAGGAAGCTGTGCCCTCAGGGACCGGACCGAGAATATGCCGCTGAGCAGACGGGCGACCGGTGGCTCTTCCTCTCCTCTGTGCCGCCGCCCCTTCCTCTCAGCCAGCCCCCCAAGGACTTTGCCAGCTCCGGCGGAGACTTTGCGCTGGCCAGGTGGGGATTCTTGCCCAGCGGGGTCTTCCTGATGTCAGCCAAGTTTGGCAAGGACAGAGAGGCCCAGCCCCCGCTGCACCTGCCCCCCAACATCTGCATCCTGACCCTGGCCATGATGATCGCTGGCATTCCCACGGTCCCCGTGCCGGGCGTGCGGGAGGAAGACATGGTCCACGCTGCCCAGTGCTTTGTGGCGGAGAACCTGGAGCCTGGCAACGCGCAGGGGAGGCAGCACAGAGGAGGAGGAGGAGGTGGGCTGCCATGCAGCGCCTGGGGCCTTCCTGCAAGAGGGGGGACAAGCAGAGGAAGAGGGCCACCCACAGGAGCCTCCTGCCCCTGTTCCTGGCGCAGCTGGAGAAGTGAGAGCAGGGGGGAAGAAACGCTTAATTCTGCTTTGAAAAGCCAACATAAAGGGTTTGTGAAAAGCAAGGCTCTTTGCTTATGTCCGTGCTTCTGCTTCTGTAAGCAGGTTGTTGGCCAGATCCTCTGATCCAAACAGCTGTCTGGATTGGACCCCAGGCAGCCCTTCATTCCCATTGCCACACCAGCACAGGGGTTACCCAGCCAGGCTCCTTGGGACCAAGTGGAAGGGATAACCCAGCTCTCCACATAACAGCCCAAATGGAAGCTGCTTCCTGGAGCTCTTGCCCCTCTCCCCTCGTGTCTTTCATGTCACCAGTGTTTCCAGTCTGACACAACGCCCACAGAGCGCTTCCACTGAGCCCGGTACCAGCCGCCTGGCAGAGCCACAGCAGAGAAGCCCTGCCCTGTTTCTTAATGAGATTTTGAATGGTATTTAAAGGCTGATGTTGAGAAACGACAAACAGGAAAGACTTGTTTATTGACGACATTTACGAAAGAGAAGTCCTGCTCTCGCTGGGTGCAGGGGGCCCTGTTTCAATAATCAGGGGAGGGAGGGAGGAAAAAAGGACTTGGGGGACACACCTGGTCCCCTTTGACATGGAGAACCAGACATGCTGGTGGGGTTAAAACCAACTGACTTAGAGGAATAGTAATGCAGAAAGACGAGGGGGTGGACTTCACGGGACTGTAGGTCATGTCAGGCACCTCTGAGTTGCCAGCAAAGTCTCAGACAAGAGCACAGGTTTGCAGTTGTGTGCACAGTCTTGGGCTGCTCATCAAAGCTCCCCCCACAAAGGAGGAGCCCCACAGGCACTCGGAGCCCAAGGGTCTGCTCCCGAGCGCCCTGAGCTCAATTACAACTTCACCTGCACGTAAGGCCCAATCCAGCTGTCGGCCAGCTCGCGGAGGGTGCTGTACCTGCGATCAAACTCCTCGTGACTGCACTGGCTCAGAAGCCGGCTGATCTCCGCAGTGAGAAACGACACAGCCAGGTACTTGTCCAACAACTTGTCCCACGAGCAACTCAGGACCTCCAGCAGCCCGTCGGTGCTGCTCTGTCCCTCTTGGGATGTGCTGTTTCCTTGCGCCACCGCGCTGGGATCTTGCCAGGCTCGAAATCCTTCCCTTCGGAGTTCAGCACAGCCAGGACGTGCCGGCAGGGCAGCTGGAAGGTCTGGCTGAAGTGGCAGGCGCAGCTGTTGAGGCCCTTGTGGCGCACGGCCTGGGCGTCTTCCAGGATCTGTATGCTGGCAACCTCTCCGTTGTTTCCCATCAACTGCGCAGAGCTCTGGACAACCGCAAACTCGTTCAAGCACAGCCTGGCCGCCGGCTCTGTGCAGATGTCGTTCAAGGACTGCTTGATCCGCTCCTCAGCCTCTCTGGAAGTCACCTCTGCCTCCTCCTCGCGAGCCGACTCTTCAGCTGCAACCCCTGCCGCTGGCTTCAGGGGAGTCGGCACGGCGGTCGGCGCAGAATTCCTTGGAAGCAGAAACCTCTGAGAGTTTGCAGCAGAGGAGCGAAGAACCAGCAGGTTCTGGATGGAGGAGCCGTTCTCCCCGAGCAAAGGGCCTGGGCCTGGCACAGACTCCACGGAGCTCTTCTGGGCAACCTTCTGGTAAGTCTTTGCTATTTTGGTGATGCAGGTCTCCAGGGATGGACCTATGCAGAAGATCTGGCTTAAGGTGTGTGTGAGCATCTCCAGATCTTTGAAATACTGGCTGCACTGGCCCCAGGTCCGCCAGCGGTGAAAGGCCCAGATCTTCTCGTTGAGCAGCCACTCTTTGTGGAGCTGGGGCAAGCGGTTTGGCTTCACAAAGCCACACAGGATGGTGTACAGCTTCCTCAAGTTGCTCTCGCTGGGGGCACACATGGCATTCCTCAAGGCGCTCAGAACCAGCCTTTCCGTGTGGGCTTCCAGGGAGACCTGCTGGATCTTGTGCTGCAAGTGTTTGCATATGTGGAAGACAGACAGCTGGACGTCCACAGAGGGGAACGCTTCCGACAGCGCCGGCAGCCACCGGAAGCGCGGGTCAACCAGGAAGGTCTTGATCTGCTTCCATTCGGGGTTGAAGGCCTTGAAGGTGCGGTACATTTGAGCCAGGCCTTCCGCCGACTCCCTGGTGGGGACTGCGAAGTGGATCACCTTGGTCACCTCCCCTTCCAGCTGCATGAAAGGCTGGTCCACCATGAAGGTGTAGAGGGCCTTGCCCCACGGGTTGTGGGTTCGATGAATGAGCACAACCTCAGGGTGCTGTAAGAAGACATCCCTCATTTGGCTGGTCTGAAAGCTGATGGACTCCAGCTGGGAGCTTTTGTACACCTGGTAAGCCACCAGCAAGCCGCAGTCAAAGCTCAAGAGCTCCTTCACAGTTTCCAGGGCCATCGTGCACTCTCTTCCTGAACGTCTGCCTTGGAGAGCTTTTCCCAGGGATTCCTGCCAGGGCAAGAGTTCAAGTTTCTGCTGCTCTTACACCGGGGTCAAGAGTGGCCAAGGTTTGTCTCAGACCGAAGGGCCTAGAGTGAAAGAAAAGGGTGAAGCCAAGTCAGTTCTCCAGATTGGTGGTTCTGTTTCGGTGTGTAAAGGGATCTTCTTATGAGATCCAGAAGGTGACAAATTCAACATTTTTAACCCACCGAAGAGAGTGAAGGTGCTGTACCAGTAGCAATGGAAAAGGCACATTGTGTGGGATTTTTTTAAATGGAGTCCATTGTGTTTCCCATTGTTTTTTTAAAAAATGTATTTTTAGAGTCAAGATTCACATCTGTATTTTTCAGTGTGTTCTACAAACTTGGCTTACAAAGAGTTTTGGTTTACACAAAGCAGCTGCATCTGGTTAACAAAAAAACCACACAGAGCCAGGAGAAGGCCCAGTTAGGTCAACTTGTTCTCCCAATGACATCAGAGGCACTGAGGTGCAACGGGAAGGTGGAGAAAATGTCACCAGGGCCTCATCTATTTCTTCTGCTGAAATACAAAGCTGCTTAGGCAGTCCCTTCAGTTAGGCTATTTATCTGTTTATTTGCAAGGCTAAGTGTTTTTTTATTTTACATATATGAAAGTTTGGGAGCTATACAGAAGAGAGCGTACCCTCCTGCACAGAAACTGAACAAAACAGTGGCATCACACGACTGTATTCTATGAAGCAGCACCAAACAGGATTTGACTGCCTGGGCGCATCTCTACCAAGAGCCGCCACACATCCTCCTGCGCCACAAACGGCAGCCAAGTGCCTTCTGCCACGACACGAGGGCAATGTGCACAAGGGGCTTCGCTGCAGCCCAGTGGGAAGAGCGTGTGCGCAGGAGGCCCCGGCTTTGACCCCAGGGAGGGCTGGGTGGGGATAAAGGCCCCCAGAAGACCAGCTTCCTAGGCTCCGACTTAGAACCTCATCTTTACTACTCTCTGCATTGGTCTGTGGCTTCATCTTGCCCAGGACAAGCCAAAGCAACTTCGGATGTACGGCCCACCAACCAGGCCAGTGCTGCTGCCACAGAGGCATTAAAAGCAAGGGGGGGACCGGGGGGGGTGTTTTTAAGCTGCTGCCCTTTCCTCTTGGAGTTGATTTCTCAAGGTGGGCATCCACAGCAGCGAGCAGAAGAGAAAAGAAGTAGCAGAAGCAGGAGGAGGAGAAGCAGAGGAAGAAGAAGAAAAAGAAGAAGAAGAAGAAGAAGAAGAAGAAGAAGAAGAAGAAGGAAGAAGAAGAAGCAGAGGAAGAAGTAGCAGAAGTAGGAGGAGGAGAAGGAGAGGAAGAAAAAGAAAAAGAAAAAGAAAAAGAAGCAGAAGAAGAAGGAAGAAGCAGAAGAGAAAAGAAGTAGCAGAAGTAGGAGGAGGAGAAGCAGAGGAAGAAGAAGAAAAAGAAAAAGAAGCAGAAGAAGAAGGAAGAAGCAGAAGAGAAAAGAAGTAGCAGAAGTAGTAGGAGGAGAAGCAGAGGAAGAAGAAAAAGAAAAAGAAGCAGAAGAAGAAGGAAGAAGCAGAAGAGAAAAGAAGTAGCAGAAGTAGGAGGAGGAGAAGCAGATGAAGAAGAAGAAAAAGAAAAAGAAGCAGAAGAAGAAGGAAGAAGCAGAAGAGAAAAGAAGTAGCAGAAGTAGGAGGAGGAGAAGCAGAGGAAGAAGAAGAAAAAGAAAAAGAAGAAGAAGAAGAAGGAAGAAGCAGAAGAGAAAAGAAGTAGCAGAAGTAGGAGGAGGAGAAGCAGATGAAGAAGAAGAAAAAGAAAAAGAAGCAGAAGAAGAAAGAAGAAGCAGAAGAAGAAAGAAGAAGCAGAGAAGAAGCAGGAGGAGGAGGAGGAGAAAGAAGGAGAAGCAGAATACAGTGGTGCCTCTGGTTAAGAACTTCATTCATTCTGGAGGTCCGTTCTTAACCTGAAACTGTTCTTAACCTGAAGCACCACTTTAGCTAATGGGGCCTCCTGCTGCTGCAGCTGCCGCAGCGATTTCTGTTCTCATCCTGAAGCAAAGTTCTTAACCTGAGGTAATATTTCTGGGCTGGCGGAGTCTGTAACCTGAGTGTCTGTAACTCGAGGTACCACTGTAAGAAGAAGGAAAATGCAGAAGAAGCAACAGAAGGAGGAGGAGGAGAAGGAGGAAGAAGAAGAAGAAGAAGCAGAGGAAGCAGAAAAGAAGCAGAAGCAGAAGCAAAATGCAGAAGAAGAGGAAGATGCAGCAGCAGAAGGAGAAGAGGAAGGAGGAGGAGGAGGAGGAAGATGCAGAAGCAGCAGCAGAGGAGAAGAAGGAGAAACAGAAGCAGCCTCTCCCGGGCGCCTCTGCCCCTCTCCTTCCCCGGCTGCCACGGAGCCTGTCTCCCCCCCCCCCCCCCGAGGACTAGCGCCTTGGCTTGAGGCCCCCCTCCCTCCCTCCCCCCCTCCCTCCCGCGCCCCCTCACCGTCCCCGGGCGCCGCCATCTTGCCTCCTCCGCCTCCTCCTCCGTCGCCCTCGCCAGGCCCCGCCCCTCGCCCCCCCCCGGGCAGGACGGAAGCGCGCCATTGCGCCGTCGCCAAGGAAACGCGGGACGTTCCGGGGCTCTGCCGGCGAGGGGCGGGCCCACGGCGCTCACGTGACCCGCCCGCCATTCCCGCCCCGGGCTGCAGAGGGCGCTGTGGCGGCGCTCAGTGAGTTCTTGCTCATCGGCCAACTCGGCCCTCCGGCAGTTTGGGGACTACCACTCCCATCATCCCTAGCTAAGAGGACAAGTGCTCAGGGATGATGGGAGTTGTAGTCCCAAAAACAGCTGGAGGGCCAAGTTGGCCTGATTCATGGTTTTCTTTATGCAATGGGCATCGTGCCCTCCGGCTGGAGATCTCAGGGCGGGGGAGGCACGAAATGCAAGGGGGAAGCAAGGGTGAGAGCAAGCCCCCCAACACGTGTCAAAGGGATCAGGTGGGATCTTGATCCCCATCCCAGCGGAATGGCCTCTGGGCAAGGAAGGCTCCAGGCTAGGCTGCCTCAGGAGCTGAGACGCCTGCATTGCACAGGGTTGGACTAGATGACCCTGGGACCCGCCCGACTCCAAGTCCTCCTTCAAGCAGTGCGTAGTTAACCAGTGGAACTCTCTGCTGCAGGAGGCCAAGTCGTCCCTCACCTTGGGACGCCTTAAAAAGAGGGTCTGGCAGGAGGAGGAGGCAGCTGGATGCCTCTGAATACCAGTTGCTGGAACCCCCGGGAGGGGAGAGTCGCTTGTGGGCCTCCGTCTCTGCCTTCAATCAGCTTGACACCAAGACGCAAGGAGTTACACAGGGAGTAGATGATATATCCTAAGGAACTCAAAAGCCATAAATCCGTGAGATCTTTTCAGGCAAAATAATGTTAATGCTTTTTGGATCTCTACATCCAGCCTGGTTTTATCAGTTCTTTCATGACCATTCACAGTCTGTCACTTCTGTGTGTTATTCAGTCGACAAATAGGGCATCCTCTTGGTTTCCTATTCAGTCTTAATTAAAATAATTCTAGGAATGAGTAGCTGACTCTAAGTCTACAACAGTTTGGAGCTGATTTCTGTCCCCAATCTGAGCATCCTTGGGTCTTTCTGGTGGGCTTAGTCTCCCCCCAATTGCTCTAGAAGACAGACGCTTCTTCAGAACTTTTGTGGTTTGCTCTTCAACCCTTTCTTGTGGAAAGAAAGGGAAACTAGCCACCAGATTGTAGTCTGGATGCTTTTACATCACTGCTTCACCGCCTTAGAGGACAGAGGTCAGCCAGCCATCCCTCTCCGGAAACACCTCCAAGTGAGATATTGAGAAATCTCTTCCCGCATTCCAAGCACCAATATGGTTTCTCCCCTTTCTGAAATCTTTCATGGGAAGTGAGACTTTCCTTTGTTACAGAAATTACGGGGGCACATCTTTAAAGTTGTTAAATGTTACAAATATTATGCATAAATATATCCTTTCGACTTGATAGCTCAGGGAAGTTACCTAGCTTTAACAATCATATAAAGTCAACTCCTTTGCCAGTTTCCTCCATTTCAACACTATTTTGGCTTTGGAAAACGACTTTTCCCTGCCACCTCCCCAAGCGTGAAGACATGTAGACACACCTCCTACCCCAGGAAGTGCCCAGAGATGACAATCGCTGAGCTGATTGTTGGCCAAGGAAAGCCTAATCCCATCACCGGACTTGCCAAGGGGTCCAGACATGCAAAGGAAGTTCTATTGGACTTTGGGTGGTGGGACTTCAGAGGTGTTTGCCTATGCTAATCTTATAAAAGGTAAAGGGACCCCTGACCATTAGGTCCAGTCGTGGCCGACTCTGGCGTTGTGGCGCTCATCTCGCTTTATTGGCCGAGGGAGCCAGTGTACAGCTTCCACGTCATGTGGCCAGCATGACTAAGCCACTTCTGGCGAACCAGAGCAGCGCACGGAAACACCGTTTACCATACCGCCGGAGCGGTAACAAATTATCAACTTGCACTTTTTTTTTTTAAAAAAAAAAATATTTTTATTGCATTTTTTCCACATAGAAATACAAAGTCGGATATACAAAGAAATAACAAAAAAGAAAAAAAAAAAGAAAAAAATCATCTTTCCAAAGCATTTTTCCATAACCAACCGGACTTCCCCACGTCTCCCTCACCTTGCGTTCTTTACAATAAAATTTTTCAGCAAATTATAACCTTATTTTGTGCATTCTTTTGTTCTTTCAAATACTTATGGTTTACGTTTAAAATGCTTATTGTCAATTTACACTAATAACATATATAATGTTCTTTTAAACATTAGTCCTTTCATTAATATAGCTTAGTTTCCCATACCTTAATCTTATTGCTGGAGCTGAATTTCCCTAATCATGCGAATTCTTAACATTCATATAACTTATAAAATTTTTGTAAATAATCTTTAAATTTTTTCCAATCCTCCTCCATTGCTTCTTCTCCCAAATCTCGGATCCTGGCAGTCATCTCGGCCAATTCCATGTAGCCCATCAATTGCGTCTGCCACTCTTCCAGTGTGGGTAAATCTTGAGTCTTCCAGTATTTTGCGATAAGAATTCTTGCTGCTGTAGTTGCATACATAAAAAAGGTTCTATCCTTCTTTAACACCTTCTGGCCGACAATGCCCAGTAGGAAGGCCTCTGGTTTCTTGGGAAAGGTGTACTTAAACACCTTTTTTAACTCATTATAGATCCTTTCCCAGAAGGCCTTCACTTTTGGGCAAGTCCACCAGAGGTGAAAGAATGTCCCTTCAGCCTCCTTACATTTCCAACATTTATTATCAGACAAGTGATATATCTTAGCAAGCTTGACTGGGGTCATGTACCACCTGTATATCATTTTCATAATATTCTCTTTCAAGGCATTACATGCCGTGAATTTCATACCAGTGGTCCATAACCTTTCCCAGTCTTCAAACATAATGTTGTACCCAATGTCCTGAGCCCATTTTATCATGGCTGATTTGACTGTCTCATCCTGAGTGTTCCATTTAAGCAGCAAGGTATACATTCTCGAAAGTACCTTGGTTTTTGGTTCCAACAATTCTGTCTCTAGTTTCGATTTTTCCACCTGGAAGCCTGTTCTTTTGTCCAACTTAAAAACCTCTTGAATTTGAGCATAATGAAGCCAATTTTGCACCTTATTCTTTAATTTTTCATAACTCTGCAGCCTCCAAGTTTCTCCTACTTTTCTATAATTTCCCCATATTTCGGCCAACCAACCTCCATATTAGGTTTTTCCGGGCCTTGGCCTCTGCTGGGGAAAGCCACCTCGGAGTCTTACCTTCTAATAAGTCCTTGTATTTTGTCCAGACCATAAATATTGATTTTCTAACAATATGATTTTTGAACATTTTATGAACCTTTACCTTGTCGTACCACAAATATGCATGCCAACCAAAAGCGTTATCGAACCCTTCCAGATCTAGGACATCAGTGTTCTCAAGAAGTAACCAATCTTTCATCCAGCAGAAGGCCGCAGCTTCATAATATAATCTCAGGTCCGGCAGGGCAAACCCCCCTCTTTCTTTCGAATCAGTTAGTATTTTAAACTTTATCCGGGGCTTTTTGCCCTGCCAAACAAACTTGGATATATCCTTCTGCCACTTTCCAAAACATTCCACTCTGTCCACAATCTGTAGGGTTTGGAACAAAAATAACATTTTCGGCAATACATTCATTTTTATAGCTGCAATTCGACCCAACAAGGAAAGTTTCAATCTTGACCAGATTTCCAAATCTTTTTGATTTCCAGCCAACATTTTTCATAGTTGTCTTTAAATAAATTCAAATTTTTCGCTGACAGGTGAACCCCTAGGTATTTCACTTTTTTACCACACTTAGTTCTGTTTCCTTCTGAAACCCATCTATTTCTGAAGGTGTCAAGTTTTTCCCCAAAACCTTGGTTTTTTGCTTATTCAACTTAAATCCCGCCACCCGACCAAACTCATGAATCAGTTCTAATACTCTTTTTGTACTAGATTCTGGCTCCTGTAATGTTAAAACCAAATCATCTGCAAAAGCTTTCAATTTATATTGTTTCGCTCCGACCTGTATTCCTTGTATCAACCGGTCCTTCCTAATCATGTTCAATAACACCTCCAGGACTGAAATAAATAAAAGAGGGGATAGGGGCACCCTTGTCGTGTCCCTTTTTCAATTTTGAACTCATCTGTCACCACATTGTTCACTATCAGTTTAGCTTTTTGCTCAAAATAAATTGCTTCTATTCCATTTTCAAACCCCCGTCCCACTCCCATCCCTTCCAAATTTCTCTTCATAAACATCCAAGAAATATTATCAAAGGCCTTCTCCGCATCAATGAAAATTAAAACAGCTTTCGTATTGATATTAGTTTGTAAAAGTTCCAAAATATCAATAATGTTCCTAGTATTATCAAAGAGATGTCTCCCTGGGAGAAAGCCTGCCTGGTCCTTATGAATTACTTCATTAAGTATTTTTTAAGTCTGCTCGCCAAAATATCAGCAAAAATTTTGTAATCCACATTTAGGAGTGAGATGGGACGGTAGTTCTTAAGCTGAGTCTTTTCAGATTCCAATTTAGGAATCAATGTGATGAAAGCTTCTTTCCACGTTTCCGGTGCCCTCCTCCCCTCCATAATCTGGTTACAGACCTCCATTAGTGGTTGTATCAAATAGTCTTTTAGTGTCTTATAATACTTGGAGGTAAGTCCATCTGGGCCTGGAGATTTGCCTAGTTGCATATTCTGAATGGCACCCTCTATTTCCTGTTGTGTTATTCTATTATTTAAGATTGTCCTCTTCTCCTGAGATAGTTTTGATAAACCGTTAACTTTTAAAAATTGATCTATCTCAGACATTTCCTGAGGCCCTTGTGTATAAAGTTTTTGAAATATTTCTGGAAACACTTTCTAATTTCTTCTGGTTTCTGAATGTTTCTCCCTTCCACCTCTAGATTAGTGACAAAGTTCAATTTTTGTCTCTTTTTCAACTGCCATGCTAGCAGTTTTCCACATTTATTTGCCGATTCAAATGATCTTTGTTTCATTTGTTTAATTTTCCATTCCACTTCTTGATTTATCAATTTCGCATATTGAGCTTGGTGGAATTTGATTTCTCTTAAAACCTCTTTTGATTTTGGTTTTAGTCTCAATTTTTCTCTCCTTCTCTTATCTTCTCTAATATCCTGTCTTTTTTCCATTCCAAAGTTTTTCTTGATTGTGTTCTGTTGTATCAGAAACCCCCTCATTACAGCTTTACTTGCATCCCAAATTGTTCTCTTTTCCACCGAAGTGTTCAAATTAATTTCAAAATAGTCCTTTAAAGTTTTTTGGGCCTTCTTCACAATCTCCTGATCTCTTAGTAGGGTGTCATTCATTTTCCATCTGAAAGAACCGGTTGGAGTAAGTCTCAATTCCACTTTCAAAGCATTATGGTCGGAGCAAGTCTTTGGACAGATTTCCACTTTTCTGATCTTAGGTGCCAGTCCTCTAGTTGTCCATATTTGGTCGATTCTTGTCCATGATAGGTGGGCCTCAGAAAAGAATGTTCCTTCTTTACCTAAGGGGTTCCTTGTCCTCCAAATATCAATCAAGTCCATGTTGTCAGTTAGTTCAAAGAAGGTTTTAGGTAGTCTGCCGTCTTTAGTTAAATTTTGATTTTGTGACTTATCCATGTGAGTAGAAACCACCCCATTCATATCACCCATCATTATGATGTTAGTATAGTCCAGATAGTCCAGCATTATCTCATGCAGCTTCTTGTAAAATTCCGATTTCCCCTCATTTGGTGCATATATTCCTAAAATCAAAAACTTTTCTCCTTGTGTTTGTATCTCAATTGCCAAAATTCTTCCTTGCTCATCTTTAAACAGAAGTTTCGGTGACAGGTTCTCCTTTGCATAAATCACTACGCCTCTTTTCTTGACTTTGTCTGATGAAATAAATTCTTGGCCTAGTCTTTTATTGATTAACACTTTCCTATGGAGCCTAGTCACATGCGTTTCCTGCAAGCAAACAATATCCAATTGTTCTTTTTCAAAATATGAAAAATCCTTCGTCTTTTTCCGGGAATTCCCGCCATTTATATTCCAACTGTACAGCTGCAGAGACATTCTGAATCAATCTGTTGTTCCTATAGTGGGGTGTCTTCCTTTTCTTCTGGCCCCGAGGGTGTAGGTGTCGGTGCTATTCCAGGCAGTGGCGGTGGCCAGGAGGCTGCTGCTCCCTTCTGAAGGTCTTCTCCGTGGTCGTGCAGGAACTTCTGGTTATCTTCTGATGTTTTAATCTTAATTTTCTTTCCTTTAAAATTAAAAGATAAACCTTGGGGAAACTCCCACCTATATGGAATCGCGTTTCCTCTCAGTAGTCTTGCTAAGTCTGTATATGTAGCTCTGAGATCCAAAAGTTGTTTAGGAATATCTCTATAAAGTTCTGCTCTTTTGCCTTGGATATCAAGTGATTTCTTAAAGTGGAGGCCTAGTATTTTATCTCTCTCCTGCTTGGATCTCAAAATAATCAAACAGTCTCTGGGCTTGTCCCTCCTCACGACTCTTCCTAATCTGAACGCAGTTGTAATCTTAAAATCTTTGTCCTCTTCTATACCCCAGAACTTAGAAAATTCTGCTGTCAGATAACCAATTAAATCTTCCTGTTCAAGCTCTGGGATAGCTCTTAATCTCAGATTATTTTCCCGGTTTCTCAATTCCACCATAGACAGGTAGGCCTGCTGGTCGCTAACGTGCTTGTGTAGTGGCCTTACCTCTTCTTTTATAGCCTCAGCTTTTTGATTTGCTTGTTCTGCTTTTTCATTGGCTGCTTCAGCCAGTCTCCGATTTTCCACAGTTGCTTCCTTGAGATTCCCAATAACTTGTGTATGTTGTGCAACTTGGTCAGATAATTTAGTAATAGAGGATGTGGCTTGGTCTATTTTTGCCGATTGGTCATCCACCTTCTTGTTCAATATTGCAAATTGTTCTAGCATTTGTTTTAAGAAGGTATCCGATCCTCCCTCCGCCATATCCTCTGATGCAGGCCGTGCAGTTTCCTTTTCTTGTACTCCCAAAACAGCTGGGACAGATGATCTACGTGACTGAGTAGTCAAAGTTGTTTGCACAAGTTGGGCTTGTCTTGCTTTCGTTTTAGCAGATCTTGTTTTCGGTTGGCCACTCATTCCACACCTGTCTATGAGTCAAGGTCAAATTATATATTGTCCCATGGGAAGGACAGTTCCAAAGTGTAAATAACAAAGCAGCAGATAGTCCAAATAAAATTTGTTCCGAGGCACTTGTAATTCCAGAACTCCACTAGGGGGAGTATTACTGTAGTTCATAGAAAGGAAAGAAATTTATCCGCCATTAAAGTCCCTGCAGCCCCAAAACAGTCTACTTTACCAAAAGTCCTTCATAAACTTTTTGGCTTGCAGAGCACTTCCCAAGCTGCCACAAAGTCTCAAATAAAAGGTGCCAATAACAGTTTATTTAATTGTATCTTGCCAGTATCACTCAACTGTAACAGTCTCTATTTTGAATACAGTTTCCGCAATGACAGCTCTCTTTTTCTCCTGTCAGTCCGAGGTTTGGTTCTTAATTCTTTATAATCCATAAAGGGGAGGAAAGTCCCATTTGAAATCCAAAACACTTTGAAATAAAAGTCCCTTCTCCTTCTTTTTAAAAGCCAATTCTGTCAACACGATAGTCCCAAATTTAAAATCTTTTAAAGCTGCTTCCCGCTTGTTAAAATCTTTGCCTTTGATCTTTAAAGCACTGCCGGAAGACGGACTTCCTGTTTATCGTCTCCCGCTTTCAGCCAAATTTAACCCTTTTGGTTCCAAAATGATTGATCCTTACTCACGAGTAGGTAGTTTAGAGCCTGATGTTCCAAGAAGAAAGGTCGGCGCTCATCAGCAGCAGCCGCGCGGCTTCGCTCCCGCAGAAAGAGCGATGAACTCACAGCACCGCTCCCCCTTCCACGTTTCCGGAGCCCCTTACGGGGTTCCTTCTTCGTTTCTGGGGTCGCTCCTGGTGCCCGCCGAGTCCCACGGCCACGGGCTCACTCTGCCCGTGGTTTTCTTAATGGGTCACCGCTGTGCCGCAGCGGACGACCCTTTCCTGCGGAGCCCCTCTTCAGAAACCGAAGAGGACCGCCATTGCCGTTTCGCGCCGCCTCCGGAAGCCTTTATCTACTTGCACTTTGACGTGCTTTTGAACTGCTAGGTTGGCAGGAGCAGGGACTGAGCAACAGGAGCTCACCCCGTCGCAGGGATTCGAACCGCCAACCTTCTGATCGGCAAGTCCTAGGCTCTGTGGTTTAACCCACAGCGCCACCTGCGTCCCTCTGCTAATCTTATACCCTTATGCTAATCTTGTACCAAGGACTTGTCCAGACATGTTTGCCAAGGTTAAACTAGTGTAACCCTTGTCTATCCCACCCCTTTGTGACACCTCAGTGATGTAAGGAGGATTTACAGATAGATAAATTGAGGATCATTACAATTTCATAACATGCAGATAAAAACATATGTTGAGAAACCAGAGATAGGATCTGAGGGAAGTCGCAGGGAGGGACTGGGAGGGTGGTTATATGTTCAGGGGGGGAGAGTGGGGGGAAATGGGGGGAACAATGTGGTTGGTGTATTTTTGTTAAAATTATTGTGTTGAAATTCTTAATAAAAATATTTATTTTTTAAAAGAAGTCCTTGTCACCCCATCCTCAGGGCTCAAAATTCCTCTTTGAACCTGTTGCGCAATAAACTTTGGTCTACAGCTATTTGCTCCGGTTGGTGGCTGGAATCCTTCCTTTATTCTTCAGGGACCCGACCAGCAGGGGGACTGAGCAGCCTCACACCTAGATTTTTCTGTAACACCTTCTGCGAGAGGTCTGCCCTGACTACATGTCTTCAAGGATGATGCCATCTGGATGGAAGAGAATGGAAAGGAGAGTCAGTCCGGGCGCTGCCCTCCCCGGTCAGGTGGGAGCAGGTCCTGCGGGACTCCCAGCAAGAAAACCTGGGAGGCACGGATCTTCAAGCAAGAGTTCTCTGTCTCCAAGGTGTGGGGCTTACCTTTTTTGGGTCTCCGCCGGAAGCAGGCCAGGTCTGGCTGAATTACTGTCATCTGCAAAGAAAAATCCAGGTCAGATGATACTACGGAATCCACCCTGAATGGGTGCAAGAGAGCACAGAAGCAGCCCCAAGGCAGGAAGGACGGGCCTCCCTCTGCCTTGGGCCCAATCCCTTGTCCCAGGGGACCTCCCCGGGCAGCAGCAGCAGGAAAGGGGGCAGGAAAATCCTCTGGCCTCATCCTGGCCCCCAGGGACACACAGCGCATCATCTGCGATAAAGGTCGCTGGGGGATGTGCTCTTGCGGGGATGGAAGCAACCAGAGAAATGAAGAGAAGAAGGCGAGGTACTTACTCTGAGTTGGGGGAATCTCCGCGCCACGGCCAGAAGCAGAGAAATGCTGCTGGCCACTAGTGTTTGAGCCTCCCCGGTTTCGTCAAGGGCGTATCCTCGGAGGTCCTGCGGGAGGAAAGAGTTGGGGCCAGTTGGGGGGGGGCCACTAGGGGGCGCATCGGAAGATGGCTGACAATAACATCTCTCCGACCCACATGAGGTAATTTGGAGGCTATGATGGGGGGAATTAGCCACCTGCACCCCTCCAGGATTGTGGGGACGGCCCTTGCCTGCTGTGCCCTATACCACCCCCGAATTTGTGGGGATGGGGGCACTAGGCACAAAGCCCTCCTGTGGGATTCCGGCACTCCTCGAAGCCGTCTCTGATCCGCGCCACTAGTTTGCAAGAATCTTCAAAAGAAACAATTTGGACGAGATAAATTGCACATACTTCAAGGAAAGAGGGGGAGTAAAGACTGCTGACAGAAGAGATCTCTGATAAAACAAGACAAGAATAAGATATGAGAAGATACGTCAAGATACGGTACGGCAAATGACTGAGGGGGGAGGGGGGAAAAACTCTCTTTATTTCTCTATGTGATTAAACAAGAATCCCTCCCTAAAGAGTCAGAAATGTCGTTTTAAGGACTTAAGTTGTGGATTTAAGGCTGTGTGGAGATAAATTTTCGAACCAAAGCAATGTTCCAAGACGAAGCTGGAAATTTAAGAGTTTCGGAATGACGCAGTTAAAAATGCCGTCGCCATTTTGGGAGGCACTGTCGGAGCTCTTGAGTCTGGGAGGAGAAGAAACAGAGTTGTTTACATATCGTGTTCCAACTCCTCGGTGGGATTTAAGAGTGACAACTGCCTAATTTATGATGGAAAGAGCGATGTTATCTACGAAGGAGATGATTTATGGAAACCATCTGGACTTAGATTGGAAGAACGGGAAATTCACACAGGATTATTATATTTGCTTATCGGCTTAAGGAGACTAACAGAAGAGATCGTAAAGGAAAAAGAAAAATTATATGAACAAGATATGATGTGGAAACACCAAGATAAGATTGGATAGAACTATGAACTCTGTTTGGACTGATTAGGACTGATTTGGACATTAATGCAGTAATAAGAAGATGATTTGAATCCCCTTTGGATCTTGAAGTATGGGTTCCCACAACAAAATTTAAAAATTTGGCTTTTTAATTTGGAATTTATGTGATGTGATTTAATTTGATGTGATTGGCCAGTTAATAAAAATTATTAAAAAAAAAAAAAAAAAAAAAAGAGTTGGGGCCAGTTGGGGCCAAAGCAGCAGGGCAGGCTCAAGGGCCCGAGCCCCAAGCCAGTTGGGGGGACACTTACACTGAGCAGCTGGAGGAGGGTGCCAGGACTGGGGGCTTCCATCAGGAGACTCCCCAGCAGGAGCTGGAAGTGGAGCTTCAGTTCCTGCGGGAAAAGAGAGAAAAGAAGTTGAGTGCTGGGTTAGATTCTGCATGTGTGTGAAGAAGAAGAAGAAGAAGAAGAAGAAGAAGAAGAAGAAGAAGAAGAAGAAGGGAAGTCCAGACCAAGGACATACCTCTCTGTCCTCCTCCTTTTGTGGGCCCCCAAAAACAGCCTCCAGGGTCCTGTGAAGGATGGCGCTGAGCATGTCTCCACTAAACTTTGGCCTCATGAAGGGAAGGGGTTAGACGCTGCCCCCTCCCAGTCTCCCTTGCCCCCTTCTCCCTCCTGCTCTTCCCCACCTGGAGCTCCCCCTGGAGTTCTGTCCCCCACCCACCCCCTACAAACCCCATCCATCCCAAGGACCCCACTCACCTCAGCTGGACGAGGGCCTCCAAGTCCAGAGCCAGGCTCAGGGGGCGATCCCTGAAGCGCTCCAGGTGGCCAAAGATGTCCTGGAAGAGAACAGAGGAGGAAAGTCAGCTCTTTCCGGGTGTCGCAGGAACCCCCACCCCCAATCATTCAGTTTGTACGAACTCCACACACACACACACACACACACACACGACATACGTGACGCTTCTGTTATAAATTCATAGAAAATCAACCATACATCGGATTTGCACTGTTCCACTTTTATTTTACTCCATGAAGGAAGGACTACAAAATGGGGAAGGTTTGATACAGGGCAACCATAGTCCCTTCAGCATACCAGCACATCCACAGGAGCCCTGCCCAGTTGCTATGCCAACCCTGATGGTCCTAGACAGAAGACCATCAAGGTCACAAAGAACTTGCATATAGGAGTGGATTCAGCACAGACTGGAACAAAGGACAATGATCAGCTCTTCCCTCTGGGGGCAGGAAACTGCAAATTCCCTCTGTCACCTGGAAAGTACTCATGGGGAGGGGGAAAGGGGGAACCAGCCAGGTGACAGGACACTCAGGTTACCACCACAACTCCTCCCTCAACCCCTCCTTTTTGTGATGTGTCAATAATGTAGTCAAGATGTAGTTCTAGGGGTGTAGTTTGGGGGATTAGCAGCTAATAAAAGTTTGGGGGCTCTTTTGTTTGGGGCTTCCATCTTGTTCCACCTGGTGGCAGGTGGGAGTCCTGTCGCGACAGTCTTCAATAAAGACCAAGCCTCCTGGCTGCTGTTTTGCTCTGGTATTCCTGGCTGGTGTCCTTGTTTTTTGTCCAAGGGAGCCCTCCGATTTCTCCGTTAGCACCCTATCCCTAAGCCGACAGAGTCCTCCTCTCCGGGGATGCACAACCCCTTCCCCAAAGCCCCCCTCCCCTTGGGGGTCCCTCACACCACTCCTCACTCACCAGAATGGCTTGGGCCGTCTCCTGCTTGGAGCACTTCAGGGTTCGGAAACCGCTGAGCTCAGCTGCCTGGCACTCTTGCATCACGATCCCCAGGAGGTACCGCTGTCCATCCTCCAGCAGCTTAAATACAAAAATCAGGCTGTCAGTCCTTGATGGGTGGGGTGAGGTGGGGGCTTCTCTGCATCTGAGAGGGGAGAGTTTGGGGCAAAATAGCCCAGGCAATGGGAAGGGGGGGCAGGTCTGAGGGGTCCACTCCCTGCTCTTGTTTTCTCCAGTACAGTACTCACCCCTGGGGCAGGGATGTGGAACCTCAGCAGAACTGCAAAGAGAAGGGCATAGGAAGAAGTGAGTTCGTCCCTGAGACCCTGGCAAGGCTATTCCAAGAGTTTTCTCCTGGTTCCAAGTCCTACTAAATGGGACTTGGGGGCCAATCCCAGCCTCCTTCCCCCAGAACGTGGCTCCCCAGGGAAGGTGCCCCTCCAGCTGACAACTGCCCCCCAGCCATGCCCCCCAGCCCCCTGCTTCCTCCATCAGACTCTACAAAATGGGTTGGCCGCTGGGGGGGGGTGTTTCCAGCCGCTGGCCCAGATGGACCTTGGGTCGGATCCAGCCGTCTGGCTCTTTGCATATTGATGTTGACATTTCCATTCCACCTCCAGGAACAGACATGGGAGTGCTATGTGTCACATGTCTGTTTACATTCCAGCACAGCTTGCTGGAAACTTTCGTTGTGTATTGCTTTTGCTGTTCTCTCTGAGACGACATGTTTCTGTCCTGATTTATGATTAATAAATCTGTAGTTGTAGTATACTTCCACAAGCCTCACGCCTATTCTGTGCGCGCAGTTTGATCTGCTGATAGTGTGCCCTGGCTGAGTAAGCCCGGGTCACTGATTTAGGTCAGAGCAGAGGTGATGGTCTTTGCCACGGGCTGCTGGAAGGAGATGGCCCTCTGCATGCCAACACTTTTGTCTAGCTGCCCCCCATGCCCATTCCTGCCCTCCTCTGTCCCCCAAAGGAGGGCCACTTGCTCACCTGGCACCATGGGATGCTCTGGGCCTTGTTGGGGGCAGCCCTGTTGCAGCGTCTGAACAGATGCCTTAAGCACCTGATCCTAGAAGAGCCGAGCAGAGAGAGCGACTCAGAAGCCTGCAGCCCCAATTGCCTGATTTTAATCTTCCAAAGCAACTACTTTATTCCGAACTTGAAAATGGGAAGCATAATGCTCGTGGTCAACAAAAGAGGCCAATCTAAAAAGATGTAGTGTAAACACCAACGGCTGGGAAACACTGGCCTGTGAGAGCTCCAGTTGGAATCCTCCTCGGCTGCGAGGGATCACAAAAGAAGAAGAGGAAGAAGAAGAAGAAGAAGAAGAAGAAGAAGAAGAAGAAGAAATAGTTTTTTGTGTCTTGTTCAAGTTTGCCTAGTATCTGGTTGTAGCACTTGCCTACTCTTGCAGCGGGGAAACCTTCAAAGATTCCTATAAAAGCAATCCAACCTTGGATCGACACCATTCCAATGCTGTTCTGCTCCGAAGGAAGAGGGCTCCCAGAGGAGGCACTTGGGATCATAGCTGTCAACGTTTCCCCTTTTTTAAGGGAAATTCCCTTATTCCGAATAGGATTCCTCGCAAGAAAAGGGAAAAGTTGACAGCTATGCTTGGGATATGGCATGGGGCAGCCCTGATCCCTGAAGCAGGAGACCACGTCCACAGCAAGGCTTCCACCTGGGTGAGAATCCCTGCCATCCTGGTCTCTGAGGGCCAGACAGGTCGCCATCTCAAGGACAAGAGTGGACCCAACCTCCATGGACTGGGGACTTGGCCAGGACAAGAGCAGGGACTCAGCTGGGCTGGGAAACAGGAACATCTCTCTATTTCCCTTTGATTTAGTCAATGGGTGTAAGGTGGAGGTCAAGGCAGGGACAGGGGTACACCTGAGACTCAGGTTTCCGCCGGAAAAACCCTCCTAGTTTGTGACACAGATGTGATGCACGTAGGACGTTGTGGGTAAAAGGGGCTTCTTTCTGCTTCTTCCTTGTTGCAGTTGGAAGTCCTGTTGCAACAGTTCATTGAATAAAGACCAGAGAGCCAAGACTCTGCGGGGGACCCCAGGACTCACCCCCCCAGGAGTCGAAGAGAAAGGAAGGAATGCTACTTACAGCCTGCCCATTTCCTCCACGAAAAAGTCCCACCCTCCTCTCTAAACTAGTTAACTATCTAAAATGCCCACCCAAGCCTAACTCTCACCCCAACCCAACCCCAGCCCTAAGCCTAACCCTAACTACTCCTCTACAAACAAAATAAATATATACAAAATAGGCACAGATGTGCACTAAATAAAAACAAAAAATAAAAATCGTAAAATAAAGAAGAAAAAGTAAAGTAAAAAAGTGTTAAAATAAAGGAGTAAAATAATAAATCAACGGATTATTAAAAACATGTGAGGTAAACGATGGAAGTCTTTTTAAAAAAAACACACTTTATTTACGGTAGATAAGGACAAGATGAAATTATACAATTGAGTATAAATATAGATGGGAAACGGCTATGTATTGTGAGTACTTATCTACTTTTTAAATTTTTCACCTATGATCTTTTTTTTTTACTATTTATTCTTTCTTTGCTCTTTTTTCTTTTTTCTGATATCTTTCATTTCACTGCTTTATTGTGAATAGCATTTTATAGAAGTATAAATAACTGTAAATATGAAAAGAGACAAAATATTCTCTAATTTTTTTCCCTTGGTTAGATGTCTTTTCTTTTTCTTTTGTATTTTCTTTTGTTGTGAATATGTATGTTTTCTAATTTGCACTTAATAAAAATATTATTGTAAAATAATAATAATAATAAATCAAATAAAAATAAAATAAATCAAATGAATCAAATAAAAGTTATAAATCAAATGAAAATCAAAATAACAAACCGGAAAAATAACAAACCAAACTCCTCTCCTAATCGCCACCAACTGCCGCCAACTCCCGTCTCTCTCCTCGCCTCACTGCTGACCCCCAATGCCACCTGCAAGCGGTGGGCTTTTAGGGAAGCAAGAAAGGTCACAAAGGAGGGCGGGTCCTGGTCACCATGGCAACCCACCTGGTCCCTCCCAAGAGGGGGGGCTCCTCTCTCAGATCTCAGCTGGGCTGCATCTTCCTTTCGCCTCCTTCTTCCCCAAGGGAGACCACCCCCACATCCTTCCAGGCAGGCTAGGGGTCTCCATAGCGCAGGACTGGACCATCGGCTTGGCGTGCAGGTCTCCAAGATGGCGGTGCGTGCAGATGCTGCAGCTGAGAGCTCCCTGGAGGGGAGTCAGGGTTTGTTAGGACAAATTATTTATTTTAAAATGGGGTATCAGAGTTTTTAGGGGGCTAACCAGGTTGGGATAGATGGGATAGCAGGCTTGTTGGTTTTTGAATGTCTGATGTAGATTTTTCAATTTCGTTGTTCTGTATGGGACAATGACAATAAAGATTATCGTATCGTAAGTGTGTGTGTGTCTCAGCAAACTCCAAAGAGCCTTCTGGTGCTCATGATTCTGAGCCAAACAGCCCTTCCTTTCAAGCAGCTCAGAGAAGGAGCTTCCTCACAGCCGTAGAGCAACAAAGCAGCTTCTGTGTGTGTCATTCTTCAGAGTCACGCCATGGACCCCCAGCACGAAGCTGCGATTTGCGGAGCACAATTTGGGCACCTCTGGCACGCACCAACTGGCAGTGGCTGTCCAGGATTTCAGACGGGTGTGGGGTGTGTGTGTTTGTCTCCCAGCTCTCTGTCTAGATACTGTGGGTTCCTTTGGGAGGGGTATAAATTAGAGAAATCACACTGAACCAGCCTGGGCTCTGCCAACCATTTATAGCCCTTCGCCATTAAGGCGGAAATGTCCTGGAAGGTGTGCAGAGGGCGACCAAGGTGGTCAAGGGTCTGGAAAACAAGCCTGATGAGGAACGGTTGAGGCAGTTGGGTGTGCTTAGGCTAGAGATGATAAGGGGCAACCTCTAAAAGTCCAGGCGACTAGAAATGCGATGTTCAGAACTGAACTCCGAAGAAGGGCTGAACTGCTGCTGAGCAGAGAGGAAGGCTCTCAGCACAAGGTGTGAGGACAGTCTCCTCTATCACTTGCCCATTCTTCAGGCGTTCCTTTACGCCACTTGGGAAGAGGGGGCTTATGTATTTCCCCACACCTCTGCTCGACATTGGGTGCCCCAACCACCTTCCCCTGGCAAACACAAGTGGAAACCCAAGGTGGGTGGGAGAAATATAGCTCTTAAAGGTGCAATTCAGAGCAGAGAAGCTGCGAGTGGGGAAAAGTATTGTGTACAACCACACATTCTCATCCCCATCTCCCAAAACCTTTTCTATCATTCTGGCAAATCAAATGCCGCTGGGTTTGCACACAGTAAAGGGACCCCTGACCATTAGGTCCAGTCATGGCTAACTCTGGGGTTGCGACGCTCATCTTGGTTTATTGGCCAAGGGAGCCGGCGTACAGTTTCCAGGTCATGTGGCCAGCATGACTAAGCTGCTTCTGGCGAATCAGAGCAGCGCACGGAAACGCCGTTTACCTTCCCGCCAGAGCGGTACCTATTTATCTACTTGCACTTTGACATGCTTTCGAACTGCTAGGTTGGCAGGAGCAGGGACCAAGCAACGGGAGCTCACCCCGTCGCGGGGATTTGAACCGCCGACCTTCTGATTGGCAAGTCCTAGGCTCTGTGGTTTAACCCACAGCGCAGTAGTTTAGGCCTTTAACTGGACTGTGAGTCTTAAATGAAAAGCCTTTGCTCTGTTGCACCAGCTTTCTGAACTAATTAGCTTCCCAAAACGCATAGAGAGAAACAGTGCGCTTCACAAACCCACTTTTGGAGTTCTGCTCGGAGTATTGGCTTCAAAGATATCCTGGCCACCTGGTCTTTTGTTTTGCTTTTTAACAGCAAACAGAGAGGAGAGAATTGAAACACAAGGCAAACTGAAAAGTACGTTCAGGTACCAAAGGAGGACGGTCAGACTTTTATTTCCAACAATAAATTTGGTCTAAGTACATAGCAGCAAAACTAGTCCCTGCTGGGAGAGGCTTCAGGACACCAAAGAAAGCAACAATTCAGCATCACTTTTCCCTGCCGCTGAAGCCAGGCGGGGGGGCCCAGCCTCCACCCCAGAAGCATTACAGTAAAAATACAGCTAGAACCAAGACAGCAATTCTTTGCATGCATCAGGCCCAGAGAGTCACGTCACGTTGAAGCAGCCAAACACGACTACCCCTGGAAGGCGGGCTCTCCTTCCTCGGAGGTCTTCAGCAGAGGTTGGACGGCCATCTGCCCTGGAGCTGAGATTCCTGCATAGCAGGAGGTAGGAGGTGATGGCCCTCGGGATTCCTTCCAACTCTTAAAATGGCCTGCGTTAAAGAAGAAGAAAAAACAAGGGAGACGGCAACGAGGAAACAAGACGTGTGAGTCAAGAGCAACTGACAAAGGTTTGGCAAGGAAGATGCCCTGGAGAAGGCCACCCGTGTAAAGGAGACCTTCCCTGATTGTCAAGCCTGCAGCCGTGGGCTGCAAAACCTGGAGAATGCGTGTGTGCGTCAGTCAGTCAACGGGGACCTTTGTAGCATACAGGTCAGGAGGAACGGTTGTGCCCACCACCTGCATGCCAAGTCCTCATAAAGAGCAGCCACCAAAGGAGGACCAGAATAGAGTCTGCTTTCTTGTTGCAAAACTGAACAGCAATCCTGAGTTTCTTTAGCTGGGAAAAACCACAGTGGGCCTGGAACACAGTCAAGGTCGCCTCCAGTTGCTCACGACTCCACGCTGGCGTGGATTTCAAGCCAGGGAAGTCTGGACGTCTTCAATGGCTGGGCCGGGCATTCCTGAAGTCACCTCAACTTCTTCCATCTCTTCCTTTTTCACCCAGAGAAAGGGGAGGTCTCCTACGTTCCGGACATTGAGGGGCTTCTTCTCCGGCCCCTCCCCGCCCTGCAGCTCGCAACACTTAGTCCAGATGTTGACAATCATCTTGAGGGTGGAGGTGCGCTCCTCCAGCTCCTCCCCCTCGCTCTGCAGCAAGAGGTTCCCAAGTTCCTTGCTGAGAGACTGGATCTTGTCCCCCCGCTCCCCTGAGGCCGCCCCCACTGGCCCCAGCGGGCCTGCGGAGGGCTCTGTAAACTCAAGAAGGCTCTCCCCCAAGACGGAAAGGTGCTGGTATTCCTTCTGCCAGCGCTTGCCCACCATGGCTTCCCCCACCACCTCCCCGTTGGCCAGCAGCATGGACAAGATGTGGCGGCAGGGCAGCTGGTAGCGGCAGTGGAAGTAGCAGCTGCAGCTCTTGCCGTCCCTGCTGACCTGGTGCGTGTCCTCCAGCAGCTGCACCGTGGTCTTGTACCTGGCGCAGCTCAGGAGCTGGACGGACTTCTGCACCACGTCCCACTCATTCAGACACAGCTGGTAGGCAACGTCCGTGCAGCTGTCCCGCAGGGCCGACAGCATGGTGGCAACAGGCTTGGCTGGGCTGTATTTGGTGAACTGCTTCGGAGGCTCCTCTGCTGCGTTCCCGGGCAACGGCTGCTGCTGCTGCAAGGCGGTACTGGAGCTGCGTCTCACGGCGGGCCGGGCCAGGACTTTCAGCTCCTGCATGAGGCCGCTGCGGCTGTCCTCCGCCAGGCCCTGGGTCAGGTTCTCCAGGCCTTTGGTGTTGAAGCTGTCGGCGTACTCCACAAAGCGAAGGATGCTGGTCTCCAGCGACGGCTGGGTGCCGAAAAGCTGGGAGAGCTTTTGAGCGACGAGGTCCAAGCTGTCGATGTAGGTGCTGCAGGAATGGAGGCCCTTTTTGGCGTGCATGTACCAGAGCATCTCGCAGGAGAACCAGTTAGTCCGCAGGTACTTGTACAAGTCCTGGTCCACCACGTGCCTCACCTGCTGGGACAACGCGTCCAGGTTCGAGGTGGAGGTGGAGAAGACAGCGTCCTTCAGGGCCAGCTTGAAGTTGTACTTGAAGGAGAAAGACGCGTGGGACTCCTTCAGCTTCTTCTCCAGGAGCCGCACGGTGTGGTAGACGGAGAGGAGGACCTGTGCAGAAGGGAAGAGCTCCTGCAAACTGGCCCGGTGGAGGAAGGACATGTCCATGAAGACCACCTTGACCTTCTGCCACTCAGGGTTGAACTCCTTGAACACGGAGAACATCTTCCGCGTGTTCTCCTGCGTGTCTTCCTTCAAGATGGCAAGGTGGACCAACTTCCCCACCCTCTCCTTGCTCTCCACGAGGAACGCATACAGGACGTGGCCCCTCTTGCTCTGGACCCGGTGTAGCAGAAGGCTCTCGGGGAACTTGACAAAGAGGCTCCTCATCTTGCTGGTCTGGAAGTTCAGCCTCTCCAGGTCCTGGTCGCTGCCAACGCTGATGGAGGCCAAGGAGCCCATGTCCACCCGCAGAAAGTTTTTCATCACTTCGGCGACTTGGAGGAAAGCAGAGTTGGAGGAGCCATCTTCCCCTGCCTGAGGAGGAACCTCGGCTTCCTTGCGAGGGGAAGGCGGGAGCAGCGGAGGCTCGTCAGAGTCCACTTCGACCTCCACGCTCACGTCGCTGTCCCTTTCACAGGCTTCTACCTCCGCTGGCTCCTCCCTGCGCAGCTTAGCTGGGGGGCTGCCGGGAGCTTTGCGGGGGCCAGGCAGCTTCATCGCCATCCTGGTCCCAGGTGGGGCATTGGAGCTGACCAAGGAAGCCTTGGACTCTGTGTGGACGTGGTTGCCATTCAGCTCGCTGATCACCAGTCGGTCTATTTCCTCGTTGTATTGCAGGACGAAATACGCCGGGCACAAGCTGGCCTGCTGCTTTCTCTTCTTGCCAGAGTCTCTCGACCGGGAGCAGCCAAACTTCACCTGCATAAACCTGGCAAATGGAAGAGGAAAGGGGACGTCAAGGGGGCGAAGCATTGCCCTGGCAGCCTAACTAATGGGATTAATCAGGAGAATCAGTGAAATAATGCCACAGTTCCCTGAGACTATCATTCTAGGATTATTGTAGGTGATTAGTGGTAGAATAAACCTACTGGACCATCAGCCCAACCCCTCATAACCGCAGCAGAAGTCCCTCCAAAAGGTATCTTAGATGCGGCAATTCTAAAAACGGGCCCCCCCCTTCCCGCCTGAAGCGCAGGCCTCCTTACGTGACGTCCTCGCGGATGTTGGTCCCGTTCTTGCGGTTGTGGAAGCGGATGGAGACGCAGCTCCTCAAGCCGTACTGGAGCCGGTTCTCCTCCTTGTAGGTGCTGAAACACTCCCGGAAGTCCGCATAGTTCTTGAAGCAGGAGCCCAGCTCCATGGCTGCCCAGGGCAAAGGGTCAGGATGCTACCCAGAGGCCCGGAGGAGCATCTCCCCTCAGGATAACTGGGGTGTGGGGGGTTGGGGAGAAGGGAGCCCCCCCCCGAGGCCCCCTTCCCAACCCACCCAAAGGGAACAATGGTTTCCAATGAGGAGGGGTTAACCCCTTCCTGCTTGGAAGCTCCCCAAACCCGCCCAGTCCCACCCAAAGGGAATAAGGATTTCTCTCTTTTTCGTGTGGGGAGAGGGGAAATAATGTTTTTTTTTTTGGGAGGGCTTAACCCCTTCCTGCCTGGCCTCCCTCTGCCGTGAGCGTGCGGCCCATTAACCCTTCCCTCGCCAGAGTCCCTCTCCCCTCCTCCGCTCTCCCGCCCGGGCGGCCCCCCGCTCCGCCCCGCTCTCTCTCCCCCTCCGGCTCCTTCCCTCCAGGCCGCCCTGCCGAAGGAGACCCGCTCGGCCCGCCGGCATCCCACAGGGGCCGGAGCCCGCCCCTCGCCCGAGACCCACCAATCAGGGGCCGCGCCGCAGGATGGGCAGCCGCTCGGCCAACGGGGAGGCCACGAGACCAGGGACCGGCGAGCGGATTGGCCAATTGCGAGGCAGGACCCGCCTCCGCCTCCGGAGAGGGAGCTTCCGCTTTCCGGACGCCGCTTTCCGGACGCCCCCCCCCGCAGCCAATGGGAGAGAGCGAGGGAGAGAGCGCTTCCGGGTTCGGCCGCGCGGACTTCCGGCGGCCTCCTGTCAGGTGACGGTTCAAGATGGCGTCGCCTGCGGACCCCGGCCGGCCTGAGGCTCCCGAGGGGAAGGCGAAGGGCGAGGCGGGCGGGGAGGAGGCCTCGCAGGAGGGCGACCTGCGCAGCGTCCTGGTCACCAGCGTCCTCAGCCTGGAGCAGCTGGACCTGGACCTCTTTCGGTCAGCGGGGGCGGAGGAGGGCGGCCGGGGAGGGAGCCACACAGGCCGGGATGTGGACCTAGAATCTCGGAATTGTAGGGGTGGAAGGGACCCGCAAAGGTCATCTAGCCCAACCCCCTGTTATGCAGGAATCTCAGCTGAAGCATCTCTGGCGGGGGGCCACCCAACGTCTGTTTCAAAACCAATAATAATAATAATAATAATAATAATAATAATAATAATACATTATTTATACCCCGCCCATCTGGCTGGGTTTCCCCAGCCACTCTGGGCGGCTTCCAACAGGAGATTAAAAAGACATTAAAACATCACTCATTAAAAGCTTCCCTAAACAGGGCTGCCTTCAGATGTCTTCTGAAAGTCTGGTAGTTGTTTTTCTCTTTGACATATGGTGGGAGGGTGTTCCGCAGGGCAGGAGCCACCACCAAGAAGGCCCTCTGCCTCGTTCCCTGTAACCTCACTTCTCGCAGGGAGGGAACTACCAGAAGGCCCTGGCAGCTGGACCTCAGTGTCCGGGCAGAACGATGGAGGTGGAGACGCTCCTTCAGGTATACTGGACCAAGGCCCAACCCCCTGCAATGCAGGAATCTCAGCTGAAACATCCCTGGCAGGGGGCCGTCCAACATCTGTGTCAAAACCTATAATAATAATTATTATTATTATTTATACCCTGCCCATCAGGCTGGTTTTCCCCAGCCACGCTGGGCGGCTCCCAACCGAATATTAAAAACACAATACCGCATTAAACATAAACAACGTCCCTAAACAGAGCTCTCCAAGGAAGGAGAGTACAGAACCTTCCCAAGGGAGATCCTGCCACTGCCAAGCTGTTCTTACTGTCGGAAAGTTTTTCCTGAGGTTTATTCAGAATCTTCTTTCATGCAATTTGAATCAATCGGTTCCTCCCCTGCAGAAAACAAGTTTGCTCCATCTTTCACGGGACAGCCCTTCAGATAGTTGAAGATGGCTATCATATTGAGATCTCAAGGTTTCTTCCCATCTTGCAGCATCAAATGGCACTGAAGCTCTTATGTTTTTGGTTGTTTGATTTTAAAAAAGGCCTCACTTTCAATTTTTGTCTGCAATGAGGATCATAAGACAGCTGCTTATCAGTGCTTCTGTCTGTGGGGGTCTCTGTGAGAACGGGACAGTGAGCTAGATGGGCCTTCTTTTACTTGATCCAGCAGCCAGGCTGTACTTTTATTTCCACAGCATAGGCAACAAAGGCAACAGTGTAATCAAAGTCTTGCTGATGGATTCATATCTGTCTTGCAAACAAATGAAACAAAATGGCCACCTCACACAAAGCAGCAAAGCCCAAGTATGTCTCTTTGACGGGTGACAACTTAAGTGGATGGCTTTGCCCTTTGAAAGACAGGCCCTTGGTCTGGAATAACACAAGAAACAAAATGGGCTCTCTTGCTTCCCCGTCTTTTCTGAAAACAAGCCAAGCTTCATGCTGGGAATTGCTTTTGGGAGAAATTCAAATGTCCTGGACCCTGACCCCAGATAGTTGTGAGAGTGGGCTGCAAGGTTCTGATTTGCAATGCAGAGAACAAGAACTATGCGGGCCTGACTTGACTCCACACTATCCACCCTGTCCCCACAGGCCACCCTATAGTATGCTAAAAGAAACAAAAAACAGGAATCAGGGAAGACAGAAAGGTGCCATCTTTTGGGGAATAACCTCACTTTGTTGTCTTTCTCCTAGTGGGAGGCACTACTGGGTGCCAGTCACACAGCGACTCTTTGGTGGGCAGATAGTGGGCCAGGCCTTGGTGGCAGCTGCAAAGGCTGTGAGTGAGGATGTACAAGTCCATTCGTTGCATTGCTACTTCGTGAGAGCAGGTAATAACAGGTTCTGGGAAAGGAGGGGGTGGGAAGGGTGGAGTTCTTGAGCAGCGCCTTATAAGCAGACCCTGGTAAGCTTCAGAACTGGCAGTGAAGACTCACACAACCACACCCAAAGTGTTACCAGTGGCCAGGTAAAGATCCAAAGGAAGCTCACAGGCAAGGTGTGATGGACAGAGATGGCCATTTGTGGCTACTGGACCTCCACATCTAATCACCCAAGGGAGGCTGTTTCTGGTCACACAGATTCCACTTCTGGAGTAGATGGGCCACTGGCCTGATTCAGCAGGCTCGTCTTATGTTCTTAGCTCTACTCTCTCTCTCCTTTCAGCATCCCTCCAAAAACCAGTAAATACAATTACTCATTGTAGCTGTGATTCCCATAAATTCCTCAGTGCGGCATCGAAGTACTACCTACTTTTTTTTGCCTTCAGCCTGCTGCTTTTAGTGGATGATGGTTTGTGTGTTGTTGGCCACTGGGGGATGCTCCTGCTTCTCCTTCCAGGCCCAGACAGGCCACATCCTAGCAGCCAGAGTGTCCCAGGAAGCTGCAACAGCAGCTGTAAGGGTGGTGGCATCAGACCCAGTTCATCACCACTTTTGGTCTGACTGGGACTGAAAACAACAGAGGGAGGAAATTCTGCACCTTGTCCCTGCCCACTTCAGAAGCTGCTGCTGCTCCCACCCCCGTTTGACTGTCATGCTCCTACTGTTATTCCGGGGCACAGCCCGGACGCTGCCTGAGCACTGCTCTTGATCTCTGGCATGGGGGGAAAAGGAGATAGAGAAGAAACCAAGAGAGCAAGTGCTTGCTCGCACAGCAGCCATAATGCTCCCATCACTCTCCCTTTCTGGGGCGGCAAGTGAGCTGACCAAAGGCCCTTCCTGCTTCCAGGGGACCCCACGGTGCCGGTTCTGTACCAGGTGGAGCGCACTCGCACAGGGAAGAGCTTCTCGGTGCGGTCGGTCAAGGCCATCCAGCATGGGAAGCCCATCCTCATTTGCCAGGCCTCCTTCCAGCAGGACCAGCCCAGCCCCGTCAAGCACCAGTTCCACATGCCGGACGTGCCCCTTCCAGAGGAACTGCTGACCCAGGAAGAGCTCATCCAGAAGTACCTGCAGTGAGTGGCGCAGGGTCCCCACCTCTCTTCCAGAAGACCGTCCGCTTGGCCATATACATAAAGAAGCTTCCTGAGCCAGAAGTTACCAGCCTTGCCCTTGGCTCCTGCCTGGCCCAGGGAGCCTCCATGGCTGAAACTGACCCACCCAGCTGTGATGTGGGGAAAGTGTGTCCTGCAGGAGGGCAATGGGTTTTCCTGGAGCAGCTGCACTGAGCTCAACTCTGCGTTTGCTCGCAGTTCGGAACTCTCCTCTGGCTCCGTGCAGCTCCAGCAAACTTGGGTTGGCCAGGCTAGTCTGTGGAACCCCTTCCCACAAGAGGGAATGGTGGCCACCAACTTGGGTGGCCTTGAAAGAGGATCAGGAAGTGAGGGCTCTCAATGGCGACTAGCCAGGATGGAAACTGCAGGTGGGGAGAGGGCTCTGCCTTTAGCCCACGACAGCTTCTACCCAGTGCCATTTTTCTGGTGCCAGAGTTCACCGTGAACACCTCCCTTGTTGTCTTGTAAGAAGGCTCCAGTGGGTTCTGGTGGAAAAAAGCCCTGCTTCTACCAGTGTTGGTTGGTATGCCTGGCTGAGCAAGTGAGAATGAGGCCCAACATTTCAGGAGCCAGACCCTCCCCGTCCCCATTTTCCTCCAGACCCTCCCAGTGGTGTTGGGGCTGCAGCTCCATCCCTGGACATTGCCCAGGCTGCCTGGGACCTGTGGGCAAAGGCTTCCTGCTTGCCTGCAATGGTGCCCCCCTTCTGCCCCCAGCCAGCTCACTGCTCGTGTCTGCTCTTTTTTCAAAGGGACCCAAACCTTCTGGACAGATACAGGCAAGGACTCAACAAGATGCTGGCCCAAGAAGTTCCCATTGAGATTAAGCCAGTGAACCCCCCAGACTTCTTCCACCGGAGACCGCAGGAGCCCAAGCAGCTCTTGTGGGTGAGAGCCAGGGGCCACATAGGTAAGCTCTTAAGCGCCTGCCCCCCCCCCCGTTAGCATCCCAGGGATTGGTCTGAGGCCCAGAAAAGTCCTCTAAATCAAGTATCCGTGTGAGTCTGCATCCTTTCACTTGAATCAGTATTCAATTTATTTCTTTTACAGAACCTTAAAAAGGGCGGAAAAAAACCACCCAAACACACATTTTGGGGTAAGGGAGGAGAATTATGGGGTGGGGAGGGATGTGTGGAACACGCAGGCTCCTGCCCTGGAACTCTAGAGCTTTGTCTCTGGAGAGATCGCTGCACAACGCTGAGGCCTAGGAACTTGCTTTGGGAGATCGTTTGGGTCTTTCATGTTCACCTAGTGCTGCGCCACCTCCTCTCCAGCTCGTACAGGGGCACCCAGCACCCCTATGACCCCCTCAGCAGGCTCTCTGCTACCCACCCCCTGCGCCTTGCTCTCTCCTCCAGCCAGCGATGTCTGTTTTGCAGGCGAATGTGACATGAAGCTGCATTGCTGTGTGGCCGCCTACATCTCGGACTACGCCTTCCTGGGGACGGCCCTCTTCCCCCACCAGCACCACAGGGTCAGCTTCATGGTCTCCCTGGACCACTCCATGTGGTTCCACGCCCCCTTCAGGGCCGACCACTGGATGCTGTATGAGTGCGAGAGCCCCTGGGCAGGTAGGTGCCAGGCAGGGAGCATGGGGGGGGGGCTGTGCGGGGAAGAGACGCCCGAGGGCTGTTCTGCATCACAGCAGACAGTCCTCAGCCACCGCCCTCCTCCTCCTCTCTCTGACACGCAGGGGGGTCCCGGGGCCTGGTGCACGGGCGCCTGTGGCGCAGGGACGGCGTCTTGGCTGCCAGCTGCGCCCAGGAAGGCGTCATCCGCGTGAAGGAGCAGCCCTCCGGCAGCAAGCTGTAGCGAGGAAGAGAGCGGTCCTGCTCGGAGGCGCGGCCCCCGTGGACTTGGGCAGGCCCTGCAGGCCTCATGCTGGAACGGCAGCAGATGGAAGCCAGCTGGTCTGGGCGGCTTTTGCACAGAGACCCACAAACAGGAGCACTGGCAAGCATCCTTTTTATTGGGTGAAGGGAGTTACAAGACTGGCCCTTGGCTTTCCCTGTCGCTAATAAAGGGGCAGCAGCCCCTCCCTCCAAGGCTCTGGTCTCCTGAGGCTGCAAGGGAGGGAGGGAGGGAGGGACCTGGTTTCCACCCGATTTCCCTTTGACGCCCTGCCCCATTGCAAGAGGCAGAAGCAGGCAGCCCCTCTTCCCTGGAAACCACTCTAAAAGCTTCCCTTTTTCAGCCTGGGGGCTGGAACCTCAGCTCCCCTCTCCCCAGTAGGCTGGAACCCCAACTAGCAGCAACAGCACCACCCACCTCTGGAGACCCCCAGGCTTCCACTTGGGGGGAGGAGCTGTGCCCCTCTGCCTACCGTAACAGCTATTAGTGTCAGACAAACACGGCAGGCGGTTGCTGCTATCCCTTTCCTCCTAGAGGCATTCAAGCATTACAAAGAAGTCCCTTTCAGAAGCCAGGGAGGCATCTAATTCCTCTACGGAGCCCCAAATAAACAGCCCCAGCGGCTGTTCCTCGCAGGGGCACGGTGGTCCTCGGGAGGGACGAGTTCACCTTGCCCTAAAACAACGGTCCGGTTTCTGCCTGGGCTGCTCCCCTCCCACGATCCAAAGTGAAGCCAGCCGGCCTCCTCAGGGCAGGGGCTGTTTGATGAGCAGTTCCTTCAGGGTGGGCGGGTGCATCTCTGCTCCGCCGGCCTCCTGCAGTCGCTGCAGCCGGGCCTCTGCCTGGCGCTTGTCCCTGCCCAGAACCCAGGAGAGGCGGATGTGGGCCTGCAGGAAGGGGGCCAGCAGCGGGTGACTGTCCTGCGCCTCCAGGAGACACAGGGCCCGTTCGCAGGCCGCGTGCGCCTCCCCGGCCTGGCCCAGCTCCTGGTGGCAGACGGCCAGCCCGGCCAGCGTCAGCAGGAAGTGGCCCGAGCGGCAGGCGCCCAGCCTCTCCTGCAGCTGGTGGGCGTTGGCCCACGTCGCCAGGGCCTCCGGGTACCTCCCGGAGCACGTCAGGCTCTGCGCCGCCTGCAGGTCGCGCAGGAAGAAGAACTCCAGGTAGTCGGCCGAGCGCCGGATCTCCGGCAGCGAGTGCAGGTGGGACAGGAACTGCTCGAAGGCGCGGCTGCGCTTGGCGATGGTCTCGGCCGCGAAGTTGCGCCGCAGCCGCTTCCGGGGGAAGGAGACGCCCGCCATGTCGCCGCAGAAGCGCCGGCGCAGGTGCCGGTTCAGCCGCTCAAAGTCAGAGTAGCGGCGGGAGATGCAGGCGGGCGCTTTGTCGAACTGCCCCGCGCGGATCAGGTAGACGGTGTAGAGCTGTGGGGTGGGACAGGGAGGGGGCAGCGGTGAGAGGGGCTGCCCAGAAAGGGACAGAATCCAGTAACCCCCGCCCCGCCCCGCAGCAAGACAAACAGGGAGGCATGCCCCTCTCCCTGGCTTCCCGCTGCGTGAGCCTACCTCCCCCCTTCCGCGGACAGATCCCCAAGCAGCAGGGAAAGGGCTGGGAAAGCCAGGCAGGTGAAACAGCAGCAGCCATGGGGAAGTTACCTGAGGCTCTTCTGCCCAAACCGTGGCAGCACAAGGAAAAAGAGAAAATAGTCAGGGCCAGGCACCCTACAAGACACCCCCCCCTCCCAATAAGGCATGGCGGGTGCGAGAAGAGGCAACTCCAGTCTTAATAATAATAATAATAATATTTATACCCTGCCTACCTGGCTGAGTTTCCCCAGACACTCTGGGTGGCTCCCAACAGAATATTAAAAACACGATAAAACATCAAACATTAAAAACCTCCCTAAACAAGGCTGCCTTCAGATGTCTTCTAAAAGTCAGATACAGTCATAACTCAGGATTAATACGCTTCAGCTTAAATATTTTTGGTGTGCGCTCCGCAGCGACCTGGAAGTTACAGAGCGCGTTACTTCTGGGTTTCGCTGCTCGCCCACGCACAGATGCTCAAAATGACATCATGCACGGAAGTGGCGAAACGTGACCCATGCATCTTACGCTCACTTCAGGATGCGAACGGGGCTCCGGAATGGATCCCATTCGCATCCAGAGGTACCACTGTAGTTGTTTATTTCCTTGACATCTGGTGGGAGGGCGTCCCACAGGGCGGGTACCATCACCGAGAAGGCAGAGGAGGGTGGGGCAGGCAAAGTCTGACGCCCCCTTTTTTCTCCAGGTCGTAGAGTTGGAACTTCCTCAGGGACAGGGGGGACCTCAAGAACAACTGTCCATGGGCGTTTGGCTGACTTAAGGCCAGGAGAGGCAGCTTCTCTCTACAATATCCCTCCCTCTAGATGTTGGGTCCTTCTTCTGTCTTGTTTTTGCTGCCCCTCCAATCCCAGGTTCTTTACAGGCTGGAGGGGGTTCCCTGCCTTTGCCCCCACCCCATCTCACTCACCACGTACTTGGAGTTCCGCTCGCTGACCACGTTGGCGCTGGTGACCTCGAACAGGAGGCGCTGGGGCACAAAGCTGCCCCGCGATTTCCTCCAGAGCTCCTGCAGCTGCCGGGTGAGCAGGTTGCTGCCCCTGCGCTCCGTCGGGGGGCTGTGCTCTGCAGCAAGGGGGGGGGGGGCAGAAAAGGAAGAAAGCAGATGTCAAGCTCTGGGAGGGGGTTCCTGCTTCCTGGTCAGCAAGAGCTCAAGCTGAAGATTTGGTGACTCCTGTTTCTGGCATGGAGAAGAGCTGGGACCAAAGACAGAAGAAGAACCTGCAGGATCAGGCCGTCTTCTTCTCCCAGTGGCCAACCAGATGCCCATTATAGGAAACCCACAGGCAGGATCTGAGCACAAGAGCCACACTCTCCACTCCTGGGATTCAGAAGCAATTCTTTCTCCTCCCTGAATTTGTCTAATCCACTTTTAAAGCCACCTGAGTTCTAGTGTTCTGAGAGAGGAAGGCAAAGACTTCTCTATCCGATTTCCCTGTGGAAGCATCACTTCCACAAACTTCCGTCATGTGACCTCTTGCTCGCCTTCTCTCTAAAAAGCCCCTTCATAGGGGAGTCCCTCCATCCCCTGGATCCTCTTGGCTGCCCTTCTCTGAACCTTTTCCAGCTCTACAGCATCCTTTTGGGGGCGAGGCGACCAGAACCTGCCAGTGGGCTAGTTGCTTCTAAAGGTGCTGAGCCACGGCTGGCATCACAGGACGGGCGCTGCCCCCTTCCCCCTCAACACACTTGTGAGGAATAATAATAATGGAGAGGGCCCCTTGGCTCCTTCCCGTTTCGGGTGCAGGCAGTTCCCTTAACTGCAAGCCCCTGCCCACTGTGTTCTCCTATGCACCTACACACTGACTATGTGCCCGCAAACCACCCTCCCTGCTGCCGGCTCCAGGGCCCTACCAGCGTCCTCCGTGTCTTCGCCCAGCAGGTCTGGCTCTGGGGGCTGCCCTTGCCCAGCCACGCCAATGTCCTCGTCCTCCTCTTCCTCTCCTTCCTCCTCCTCATCGTTGCTGGTGAAGCTCAGCGTCCCGCTGAGCCGCGTGGAGAGGCCCTCCGTGTCATCCTCCAGCTCGGAGCTTTCCGGGAACTCTTCGGCTTCCGAGCTGCAGCCTGCCAGGCCGTCCCGCTCGCCCTCGCCGGTCAGGGCATGCCGCAGGCGGTGCAGGATGCGGGAGGCCATGGAGATGTGGGGGGGGGGGAGCCCTGCAGGGAAGAAGAGGCAGTTAGGTCACTCTCAGCAGGCCTCCCACCTACGCCATGGGGCAGGGGTTTCCCAGGTGGAGCCTAGTTTCTCTGCTTCCCTCTTTAGCACTTCTTTATATATACTATTGGCTTCTCAACACACACAGAAAAGTGAAAATGTAACAAAAAGAAAACAGAGATTTAAACCCATAAAGCGTCACACCCCAGAAGGACAAAGTACAAAGACCCAGCACAGCTTCAAAGGGGGGTAGTAAAAGTATTGACTTGTACAAAGATTCCCTTCGCAAATAATAAAGATTCGTGAAAATAAAAGTATTCTCTGCCTGCGACTTCCATCATTATTGGGTATGAAGGTTCTACATAGTCCTAAATGAGCCAGACATATGTATGTACTGATGGCACTGGGCTGCCACATGCTGCAATATCTCTGTAAGAAGTAAGACCATGCCATACATTTTACAAATGGTGATCCAAACTCTGCCTTTTAGATACTCAAGAAGGGCAGTTTGCCAAACTCTTGAATACCAGCAAGTCAAACTATTAAGATTAAAGGTCTTCCCAGCCTGCTGTTAAGAGATGCGAAGTAAGTCCTTTTTGAATCCTATTCTGTTTCCACATGCAGGCTCCAAAGCGCCAGGTGGAAAGATGGGAGTAATAGTTTGTTTAGTTATCCAAGAAAACTTGGCGAACACCTCTTTCCAAAATTCAGCCACGTTTGAGCAGCCCCACCACATGTGCTTCTAGGTACCAACTACACGGCTGCCCCTCCAACACGGGGAAGATGTACCCGGATGCACAAAGAGTGAAATTGTGGAGTAAGGCAGCAGCCGTGGACAAACTTCAGAGACAGCTCTCCAGGTTGGACTGGCAAAGACCTGTATGGAGTCTTGGCCCACAGGCCATTCTGTGGCACTTCTTTTGTGACCCACCTCGGTCCTCTTGCTCTCTGGGCCTGGAGGCTGCTGTGGTGGCCAGCAGCTAAGGAAAGAACCCTAACAGATTCCTCAAGCTGCCCCCACAAAGCGTAAGAGGCACCCCTTATGCAGAAAAAGACAGCGCAAAATCTCATAATAAACATATTGAGTATAAACACTTGCTAAGGGAAGACTGAAGCTGCTTTTGTCTTGGGACAAAATTTAGTTCAATTGATTCAACAAAACTGATGAACTTGATCCAGGGAGATCAGCTTTTCAAAGTCTGACAGAGATTAAGAGTCTTAGATTCCACACTGAGTAACGACTTCACTGTTCAGTAAATTCTTAATGTGGTGGGTGGCCTTGATGACGGGATCGCAGGTTCCCAGTGTTTGGTTTCAAGTCTCTTAGCAGGCAGGCATCTTAAATCGCCACCTCCAGTGCCTGCTGTCTCGCCTCTTGGCACCCTTAGGTAACCCCCCAGCCCCCCAGCGGGCAGTATTGTCCACTTTGGGAGCCGGAGACCTATAGGAAACGGCTGAGTGAGTCATCTGGAGGTTTGCTGGGCTGCGGTGTCACTTGTCAGCCGGTGACAAGCAGGGTCCACTTGTTCCTGCTGTTAAGCCAGGGAGGTGATAGAAGTTCAGAACAAGAAGTTTCTGGAGCTGTTTGGGGATGGATTTGGGTGGGGAAACCCACTGATGTGGGTGCACTGATCTGGATGGAGTTGTGCAACCTGTCTTACATGGGAGTTGCATGGGGGGGGGGTTACATGGTTTGGGGATGGTCCTGGATTTGGTACTCTCAAGGCAGGAATCAGTGGACAGGGATGCTTTTTAGAAGCTTCTGGAGAAAACAGGACTCTCTGTGATACCTGCTCTGTCTGCCTCCAGGCTGGGTGACTCTAAGACAGGGCTAGACAGACTTCCGGCATGTGGGATCTGCTCCGTGGTTTTGCTGGAACTCCACAATCCACCAACCAGATCCAGCTGCAAAAAGGTCTCTCGGGGAATGGATCCTGATAGCTACTGTTCTCCATAAACCATGCACTGGAATTATCTGTGCAGAGAATTGCTTATCTTGTACCTGATCAGGGATTTGCAAAACTCTCAAGACAAGGCAGCCAATTGGCACCCATATTATATGGGAAAGAAACATGGGGTGAAAAGTGAATAGCCCTCATATAGTTTTTACTTGCTATGCTTATATTATTAGAAGTCAGTTAATCCCTCAAAGGTCCACAAGCAGATCCTGATTTACCTTGTGCCCACTCCGGACACTACAATGCCCACTCTGCCTTGGAAGACAGTTTGGAAACACCAACATCACAGATTCATCAGATCTCAGAATTGCAGAGCTGGAAGGGACCCCCAAGGGTCATCTAGTCCAATGTGGGAATATGGCAGCGAGAGTGCTTGTTGGGGCCTCACGCCACATCAATTCTCTACAGTTACACGGCCTGCCTCCTTCGTTTTGGGACCCAATTTAAAGCTCGAATTTTGGCTTCTAAAGCCCTAAACTCTCTTAGGACGAGGCTCCTGTGGCCCTGCAGATGTTCTTTGGGCTCCCACTCCCATCAAGCCCAGCCAACATCTGGAGGGCTGCAGCTTGCCCTGTCCCACCCTGTGCCCCCTACAAGACTGCCTGGGCTTTTGCATTCGGCCAAGGAGGCCTGCCTGTAGGATAAAGAAAGCTGCCAGATGTGAGGGTCAGGGTCGGGGGGGTGTGGCAGCAGCTGCCCTGCACTTAATGGTGCTCTTGCGCAACCCTCCCCGCCGGCCTTGTTTTGGAAGTTTTTGACAAGAATATGCAAACCATTTTCATTTCAGTCTGCTCTGCATTAACTGCTGCTTTATTAATAATGGCTGTTCATTGTGCTCCATTTTAAGGAGGTGTGACATGGTCTTAACTGGACAATAGCTTAATTTTTAATATTTTGTGACCATTGTGTTTCTCATGGTGCCTTGTGCACTATTTTGGAGGGGCAACTGTGCCCTAAAAAGTGGTTTCGAAAGCCCATAATAATTAGAGCCAATGCAGTGTGCCAGTTAGAGTGTTAGACTAGGACTTGGAAGAGCCCAGGGCTCAAAGCCCAACACAGCCATGAAGCTCACCTTGGGGGCCAGTCGCTGCCTCCCAGCCGGACCCGCCTCACCGGGTTGTTGCAGGGATTCAACAGGGAAGAGGGGAGGACCGTGCACCCGCCCCCCTGAGCTCCTTGGAGATATAACTGCAACGCAACAAAATGAAACAAGATGATGAATCTTTGGTTTGTGGGGCTTTTCTTTATATATATATATATATATATATATATATATATATACACGCACACACACACATATATATATATATATATATATATATATATATATATGTATAATCTCATTATAGTTTCTGTTTGACAATTTAAAATACTCATTTTTAGGATATCAATGACTTCTTCTCTTTCCATGTACAGGTAGGTAGCCGTGTTGGTCTGCCGTAGTCGAAACAAAATAAAAAAAATTCTTCCAGTAGCACCTTAGAGACCAACTAAGTTTGTTATTGGTGTGAGCTTTCGTGTGCATGCAAAGTGTATCTGAAGAAGTGTGCATGCACACGAAAGCTCATACCAATAACAAACTTAGTTGGTCTCTAAGGAGCTACTGGAAGGAATTTTTTTATTTTGTTTCTCTTTCCATGGTTCATTTTACATATCATAAATCCCTGCATTTTTACAAAAACTAAAGCATTCAGTATGATTGCATCCATCAAAACTTATTTACACTGTTTAATTTCTCTTAATGCTGCTAACACAGTTGCGGGTTTTTTCTGCCCTTTGTTTTGAAAGCCAGAGAGAGGGTCTCTCTGCAGAGGGTACTGGATATAGAAGGAAGGGAGAGAAGAGGCAGCAGCTGGATGCCAGAGCTAGCCTGAGGCATCCTACCTGGCACGGGAGAATGCCCGCCCCATGCACACCCAGCGAGGAAGAGCAAAACAAGGCTGGCACTCAGCACCCTCCCATCCCCAGAGGTTTTGTGGTTCTTGTCCCAAGGGAGCAGCTGGAAGCTGAGCACCCACAGGGGCAACCGGGGCCTCGACGTGATGCCAAGGTGCCTCAGACCCAGGGCACCCACAGGTGAGGCAGGGCACGCCTGGCTCTTCCAGCTCATCATCATCATTTTATCTGCATGCTGCCTTTCCATGGTTAAAACAACGCTCAAGGCGGCTGACAAGATTTACATAATTGCCAACGTAACAAATGTCATAAACAGTAAATAAAACACATGAAAGCCCAGCCCATCTTGCTCTGGGGCGGCAGGTGCCAGGGCGGGCCTTGCCCTTCCCCCCCCCCCAGGTACAAGGGAGCAGGAGGGTGGGTGGGGGGCGCAAGCTACCCCCCCCGCCCCACTTTCTTTGGCAGGTATTGCCAAAGGCGCAGGGGCGCAGCCCTGCCCTGGAAACCCTCCACCCCAGAAAGCGCGTAGGATCAGACGGCAGGGGGCACTCTGCACATGCTCCGGCGCCCCTTTCGTGCAGCCCCACCCATCGCAGGCCCGGGCCGCGGCCCCGTCCGGGAAAAAGGTCCGGGGGCTCGGCGGGCGAGGACTCCGGAGGGCGCGCGCGGCGAAGAAGATTGCGCGCAAAGGGATGCGCGCTCTGCACATGCCCGGAGGAAGCGCGCTTGCAGCTCGCCCTGCCGAGGATTCAGCCCAGCTGGGGGGGGCAGGCTGGGGGACCCCCGCCCGGTCCCCTCAGGCTCTTGGCGAGCGGGCAGTTCCCCGGGCGCCGCTCACCTGGAGGCAAAGGCGGCTGGGGGCGCCGGCGTCTCCGTCCTCCTCCTCCTCCTCCTGCGATGGCCGCTCGGGCTGCGGCGGCTCCTCCTCCTCCTCCTCCTCCAGCCGCCGCCTCCCGGCTCTCCGTGGCCGGCCTCTCCCTCGGCTCCCCCCGCGCGCCGGGAAGGAAGCGCCGCCCCCGCCGCCCGCGCCCGGGAGCCGGAGAGGCGTGCGCCCCGGCGGGCTCCCTTTCCCGATGCGCCCCTTGGAGACGGCGCGGCGACGGGGCGAAGAAATCACAGACGCGCCCTGAGATTTGGGGAGGGCGCAGCGCAAAGGCAACAAAGGAATTCCGTGGCACGGAGCCGCAGGGCTGGAAGCGCGGGCGACGATTCCCCGGGTGCCCCCAGCACCCACCAAAATCCCCACCAAGGGGCCGGGCACCCACAAGAATTCAGTTCCAGGGCCGTGCGCGCCGCCCGGCACCCAAGACCCCGGGGCCAAGCGGGGCTCGAGATGCGTTTGCTCACCTTCCGTGACTTACCTGCCTTTTCTCCCCAAGATCAGTCTCTCTCTCGTGACGCCTGGAAAATAGAAGCAGAAGCTTCCTTATGGCAGGAGGGCAGGAAGCTGGGGAGCCGGACCGTCGTCCACAAAAACCTACGCAGCAATAAATGGGTTTTTCGAAGTGCCCTAAACCTTGCATTGTTTTTCTCTAAATTTATTTATCTTATTGCATTTATATGTCATCTCCAAGGAGCTCCAGGAGGGTCTCCCCCTCCTCGATGAATCCTCACCTACCCTGTGAAGTAGGTTAGGCTGAAAGGGAGGGACTGGCCCAAGGTCACCCCTGATGAGCTATTATTATTATTATTATTATTATTTAGTATTTATACCCTGTTCATCCGGCTGGGTTTCCCCAGCCACTCTGGGCGGCTTCCAGCAAAATAATTAAATACAATTATTCATCAAATATTAAAAGCTTCATGGAGGCTTTTAATATTTGGAGGCTCAAACCCTGGTCTCCCAGGTCTTAGTCTGACGCTCTAACCACTACACCACGCTGCCTCACCACACTTCAACAGGGTACCTCCCTTTCTCCTGTGTACACCAGTGAGCCTCTATAAATAATATTGTGCTTGGAGAATAGTTTTTCTCTTCCCGGCACTTGAACTCGTGGCCACCCAATGAAGCTGTCCATTGGAAGATTCAGGACAGAGAAAAGAAAGTGATTGTTCACACAGCTCCTAGTTAACCCATGGAACTCCAAGAGGAGGTGTTGGTGGCCCACTTGATGGCTTAAAAGAGAAGTGGACAAATTCACAGAGGACGATAAGGCTCCCTAGTGACTACTAGCTAGGGGAGCTCTTTTCTCCCTTCCCTTTCCGTTGTCATGTGCATTTAAAAAAATAAAAATAAGGCCTTATATATATATATAATAAATGTTCATAAATGTACCAAGCAAACACGTACATAAATATATAAACCACATGTCTGAAACAACGATCCTCCCCATTGTCTTTTCCTTCACAAATCCTGTCTTAAGGGTATGTCTGTAACCTGACTCAGGAACTAAAAGTATTTATCATTACAAAAGACTGGCTGGGTTCCCCAGGGTATCCAATCAAGTAAGCATTAACAGGTAACCTGCCAGACAGGAGATAAACAAGGTGTTCAGATTTCTGTTGTAGACCGCCTTTTCTGTGATGTAGGTATGATCTATCTGGGGGTGGTCTTGGACTCCAGGGCAGGCAATTTAAAATGTCTATATAAGGCCTTGCGTGCCATTGTTCTGGGTTCCTTCTCCCTCCTGCGTGTGGGGAGTGAGGACCCTGTTGCAACAGATCAATAAAGATCAGGCTTATGAGCTGCTTTACTTCTCAATATTCTCTGGTTGGCCTCTGTTCTTTTCTCCTACTGATGGAGAACCTGCAAAGGACTCTATAAGGGCTCTTGTGTCCCCCAGAAGGGAATAAGGGCAGATTTCCATTTATTACAGCATCTGGAATAACATAGACGAAGATTTGGCTGCTGTGAGACCAGAGGGCTGGCCAGAAGGGGCTTTGGCCTGATCCAGTAGGCTCTTACACTCGTCAGTGACAATGATCTGACTCGCCTCGTACAGCTTCCTTTGTGAATGCTGAGGTTCACTGTTGGTTAAACAACCTTGTCCCTCGGTGGCCTCCTCCTGCCTCCACCCTCCCTGTCAGGTGTCACTCAGCTGGTTCCTCCTTCCCTCCTTAACTTCTGCCTCCTTTTTGGGTGCACTTAGGACGGCTGTGGAAAGGCCAGAAACGCCTAGAGAGAATATTTGGCCAATAGGGGTTCAGTGGACACATGCAAATCAGCGCATGTTAAGAGGTTTTCGGGTGCCCTTCAAGAAACATCTGCCTGAAGATGAGCCTCTGGAGGGGGCGCAGACTTAGAGGACCCCCACAAAGGCCACCTTGCCAAGGGCTCCTCAAACCTGGAGTTGGCCCTGTGGAAAATGGTCTCCATTTTTAAAAAAGTTTTTTTTTTAATTAACAATTTCAACATATCAAAATATCAAAACATATTATATTCATTATTTTCTCTCCTTTTTCTTTCCCACCTCCCTATCAAGTCCCCCCCAGACTTCCCTCAGCTCCTTTCTCTGATTTCTCATCACATATTGTTCCCTGCATACTGTAAAAATGTATAAATCCTTATATTATCTATCTAATATATTAACAATCAATAAATTTGTGCATGTTTATTCAAAACCTGCCAAGGAGTCCAATTCATTTTGTTGTCCTTTTAGGTAATTTGCAAAAAGCTCCCTTTCTTCCTTAAAGCCACAGTTGTCCTTGTCCCGCAGTTTGTATGTCAGTTTAGCCAGTTCTGCATAGTTCATCAATTTCTCTTGCCACTCTTCTTTTGTTGAGATTTCCTTGTTCTTCCATCCTAGTGCTATCAAGACTCCATTTCCCATAAAGACCTGCCCTCCGCCCCAAATCTTTCTGTGCTGAATAAGGGGATGGAGTGGCTCCTCTTTGCAGTAAGTTTGCCATGTTGGGACTTTTTCGTTTAGGGAAAGGGTGAGCCAGAGGCCGCATGATAGAAGTTTCATATTCCTGCTGTGGACAGAGAGAAGTTTTCCTCCCTCTCTCCTAACACGGGAACTGAGGGGCGCCCAATGAATGTCGGGAGATTCAGGACAGGGAAAAGCAATGACTTCTTCGCGCAGCACAGAGCTAAACTGGGGGATTTGCTTCCACAAGGAAGCCATCAGGGTGTAATAAACAAAAATCTGCCCTTATTCCCTTCTGGGGGACACAAGAGCCCTTATAGAGTCCTTTGCAGGTTCTCCATCGGTCGGAGAAAAGAACAGAGGCCAACCAGAGAATATTGAGAAGCAAAGCAGCTAGTAAGCCTGATCTTTATTGAACTGTTGCAACAGGGTGCTCCCCTCACACGCAGGAGAAGGAGGAGGACCCAGAACCCAGGTGTGTCCGCCCTTATATAGACATTTTAAATTGCCCACCCTGGAGTCCAAGACCACCCCCAGAAACATCATACCTACATCACAGAAAGGGCGCCTACAACAGAAATCTGAGTGCATTGTTTACCTCCTGTCTGGCAGGTTACCTCTTAATGGTCACTTGATTGGATACCCTGGGGAGCCTGGCCAGTCTTTTGTGGTGACAAATACTTAGTTCCTGAGTCAGGTCACAGGCTCACCCTCTTCATACACAGACATACCCTTAAGACAGGATTTGTGAAGGAAAAGACAATGGGGAGGCTTTTCCATTTTCCTTTGACCTTGCAGAGAAAACATTTGGTCAGTTTGGGAGTCAAGATGGTTTCAGGGCGGTTTTCCTGTGCTGCTTCAGACATGTGGTTTATATATTTATGTACGTGTTTGCTTGATACATTTACGAACATTTATTAAGACCTTATTTATTTATTTATTTCAAGGGCCACCAACTTGGATGGCTTTGAAAGAGGGGGAGAGGGCTCCGGAGGGCTCCTGGCCAGGGTGGCTCTGCTGTGCCTCCGCAGTTGGTGAGCTGGAAACGGGAGGAAGGGAGAGGGATTTTGTGCTCGATTCCTGTTTGCAGGTTTCCCAGAACTGGCATCCAGTTGGCCACCGTGAGAAGGGGATGCAGCCAGGAGCTTCTAACATTCTTACATAAATCTGTAAAACTCCTCATACTGGAGAGACATCATAGAATCGTAGCGTTGGAAGGGACCCCCAAAGGTCATCTAGGCCAACCCCCTGCAATGCAGGAATCTCAGCTGAAGCATCCCTGACAGATGCCCATCCAACCTCTGCTTAAAAACCTCCAAGGAAGGAAGGAGGGGTGTTTCCAGCTCCCCTCACCCGCTGCCCTTAGAAGCCTTGCAAATTGCTGCAGGAGAGGGGCTGTGAGTGACAGCGTGGCAGGGGCTGCCTCCAGACCAAGGGGAAACTGTCAAGCTCCCTTGCTATTTTTGTTACCAGATGCTGAATGTTGTTTATGCAATCTTGTTACATTTATAGTTCTGTCGTATTGTTTCCCACCATGTTATTATATTTGCTATTGAGTTGTTTTGATATGTCATTAGGAAATTCTTTTTGCACTGTTTGGTATTGAAAGGCATTTCGGTTTTCTTTGCTGCATGCTTCTTTGAGCATTATTTTTTTGCGAGTGGAAAAGTAGCAAAGGAATGAAATAAGCATTACCGCATTTTTACGTGTATAACACGCCCCCGCGTATAAGATGCCCCCTATTTTTTGGGACTCAAACTTAAGAAAACGCACTGCACTCTCCATGTATAAGACGACCCCTTATTTTAAACTTCCAAAGTTTAGGAAAAAATATAGTCTTATGCAAGGAAAAATACGGTCTATGCTTGACTGCACTTTGACAAGAACATCTCGCCCGCGTTTGGGAAGAACTCTGAGCTGTGTGCAAGTTCCGGTTATGGAAACATAATGTTCCCTGCACAGTCTGACCTGATTTCCCTGGTGCACAAGACAAAAGCCCTTCTGAGAGGCCAAGGACTCACCTTCTTCATCAAACTCGCTTGACTGCCTGATTTCCTTTGGCGTTTGTGGCTGGGCCAGCCTGGCTTGTTCAAAACACACCTGCAGCCGAGGAGGTGAGGGGGTGTGGCCCAAATTCCAGGCGAGAGGAAGATTCCTTCCTTCCTGTGGAAAAGAAGCGGTGGGGAGAAGATTGGGGCGTGAGCAATGCACAGTAAGAGAGCTGGGGGTTAACTCCCTGTGGAAGATTCCTGTCCTCCTGCGGAGAACTCCTTTAAAACAAGAAGAACTCCACCACCCCACAGGTCATTTACGATATGATACGATAATCTTTATTGTCATTTGTCCCATACAGAACAACGAAATTGAAAAATCTACATAAGACATTCAAAACCCAACCAGCCTGCTATCTCAGCTATCCCAACCTGGTTAGCCCCCTAAAAACTCTGTAAAGGGACCCCTGACCCTTAGGTCCAGTCATGGCTAACTCTGGGGTTGCGACGCTCATCTTGGTTTATTGGCCAAGGGAGCCGGCGTACAGTTTCCAGGTCATGTGGCCAGCATGACTAAGCCGCTTCTGACGAACCAGAGCAGCACATGAAATCACTGTTTACCTTCCAGCCAGAGTGGTACCTATTTATCTACTTGCACTTTAATGTGCTTTCGAACTGCTAGGTGGGCAGGAGCTGGGACCGAGCAACGGGAGCTCGCCA